ACACTTTAATTATTCATATTTAATTCTTATGAGTGGTCTTATTGTGCAAAATTGAGAACATTATTTTACAGTCGCTGCTTTAATTTATAATTTACATGCTGCATACTCCAAAATAATAACAAAATTTAACTACAGTCTATTTTCAAATGAATATTTTAATTTGGGATGGGTCTATTTTATTCTACATGTTGCTCAAACTAAATAAAAGCACATAAAAATGTCCAACAATCATAGTGATAATTCAATGAATTGTTACTGTAAGTGTGCTAAATAAAATACTTAATTTCAAGGCGTACTCAAGTTATTATTTTACATGTTTCTTTTGGGTTCCATTGAAGTTAAACAATACTATTATTATGTTAATGGTTTTATATTTAATTAAAAATTAAAAATTTATATAAATGTGTGGTTGAATACTTTGAGTTTTATCACTTATTAGTAAATTCATTAATTCATCAAATAAGCACAGTATCACACTTATCACATTTTATAATGTCACAAGTGGTCTTTTTGTGCTAAATTAAATGGATTGTTTCACAGTCAGCCACATTTTAGAAAATAAACTGATGGCCTACTCCAAAACAATTACAAACTAATTTAGTTAATTAATTTGTCAACTTCTCTATAGAGTCAATAGTTTTATCTATGTATGACTACGAACTTTTTATATTATTTCTAAGTTATATTTTAAATTTATTTATAGGGGTTAAAGAAAGCTTTCCGTAACATCCCTGGAGTGGATTTAATCAATATCAGGAAATTAAATTTATTGCACTTGGCTCCTGGTGGTCATGTTGGACGTTTCATTATCTGGACTCAATCTGCTTTCAAAAAACTAGATGATCTTTATGGTACGTGGGACAAAAAAGCAACACTAAAGAGCGGTTACAATTTACCATTCCCCAAGATGTCAAACACTGATTTAACTAGGATTTTCAAATCTGATGAACTCAAAAAGTACTTGCCACCTCCAAGGTAAGATTTATTTTAGTTATTAAGTTTTTGCTATTTAAAGCAATTATTGTTAACTATTAATATATTTCCCTGCATAATTAAGCCTAACATTTTGGATTATTATCACATCATTATAGTATCATCAAGTATAATGAGTAAAATGCTTGGTCTGTGTTATTGATATTACATATGAAAACACCTAAGTTTTTAAAAAACTTCTGATTTTATGATGTACTGTTTTTTTTTTTTTTTTTTTTTTTTTATATATATAGAAAAATGTTAAACTAGTAATATGATGAGTAAAATACTTGGTCCGTGTTATTGATATTATATGAAAATACCCAAGTTTTTTAAAACTCCTGATTTTATGATAGACTTTCTAGGGAAAAATGTTAGACAATAATATGATGAATAAAATGCTTGGTCCGTGTTATTGATATTATATGAAAATATCCAAGTTTTTTAAATCTTCTGATATTATTATAATAAAAAAATGTATTATTTATTTGAACCATGCATAATTTTAAAGAGATGTTATTGGATATGATGAATAAAAGAAAGACTTGGTCCGTGTAATTGATGTTGAATGATAAAACTGTCTATTAATACTTCTGATCCAATACTTTATTTTTATCTTGATTTGATTTAAGAATGTTTATTATACATTAAAATGTAGAAAATTGGATATGATGTAAATTTTAAAATTGAAAATACTGTGATTTCTAAAATATTGCTTTGTTTTAATTTCTGATCCAATAAGCTTGATAGTCCGATCACTTGTGCTCTATGAGGTATTAGTTTATACAATGTATAGTATGTGGTAGGTATACCAAATAAAAATATAGTGAGAGGAGAGGTAATGCAGAATTAATTAAATGACTGTACATTTACATATGTTACTTATAGTTTAGCTTCTTTCTGGGCTGGACAACAGTTCTGAGAGAAAATCACTGTCCCTACAAATAACCAACTGCTTTAACATGAGTAATCTCTACCTATTGTTAAACCAAGCACAGAGGATAAAGACCCTATAGTTGTTACTTTTAAGTCACTTTTAAATTCATAAAATATACAATTATAATACTGTTTTTTGTAGTTATTACATTATATGAATATGTAATATTTTGAAATATAAAAAGTTATTTAACTTGGATATGATGAATACCTTATATTGAAAACATTTATGATTATTTAAAAAAGCTTTGTTTTAATTACTGATCCCATTAGCTAGTTCTGTAGATTATTTAATTATTTAAAATTTTGAATAAAATACTTTTATTAACAAATCACTGGATATTACAATTTAAAATATAAATACAATTTTATATGATCTTTTAGGTATTATTATTAAATCTATATGATAACTTAAGTAAACTAATTCTAAATTAAGTAGGTTTTAATTTCTCACATTATACCAAAAGTCTTGGCCAATGTTTCATTAAGGTCGGGTATTTATTAAACTTTAAAAACTAATTTGAAAGTTTTTTATTGTGTGTGTGTCCTGAAATTTATTTCAGTCAAATGTTTCTTGTCACCCTTATTAACTTGTTCCAAGATCATAGCCACACTATTAATACAGTGACTAAATAAATGAACCTCCTGTATCTATTTAAATAGCCATTAAGTTAAATATTTATATAATACACTTAAATATTTATTGTTATATTTTTATACTATTAATTATATATTAATCAAAGTTGGAAATGAAGAAAATATTTAGTTTTGATGATGATGATGTATATAAATATGCTTTGTTTTAATTCCTGATCCAACTTAATCTTTAAATAATTTTATATTTAATACTGGTTAATAATTGTACAAACTTAAATGTTATATTATAATTATTTCTAGGACTGGAACATTACGTCGCACTCGCAAGTTGAACCCATTGAAACATGTTCGTACCATGCTCAGATTAAATCCTTACATTGCAGTTCAAAAACGTGTTGCTAGCAATGAAAACAAATTAAGAACCTTAGCTCGTGAGACTTACTTGGCTAAGAAAGAAGGCGTAAGTTAAATAGTTGTTTTAAATATTCAATATATTTTTAATATTAATTATTTTATAGAGACCAACTACTGAAAAGGGTGAAAAAGTGTTAAAACGATTCATCAATGAAAAGAAAATGTTGCGTGCTGCTAAACTCAAGGCTAAGAAGGTAATTGCTGTTAAAGGTTTACGTGAAATTCATGAAAAGAAATTGGAAGCATATAAAAAGCGACTTGCTGCTCGTGGTGGTGCTCCTCCAACTAAAAGGTGCAAAAAACAATTGCCCAAGCCAAAACCTAAGACCAACAAGGGTAATAAACCTACATCTGCTAAACCTGTTGCTACTGCTACCAAAGCAGCACCAAAAGCAAAATCAACTGGTAAAGCTAAAGCATGATTGGACTAATAAACAACATTATTATAAAAAATTATCTTTTTACTTTTTTATATCCTTATTCCTTCTACATGATTTTTTTGCAAATTTGATAATCATAAATACAATATATCTTAAACTGATTATTTATGACTTAGTGTTTAGCAAATGCGCATTTTTATTGTCATTTCCTAATTTGGTCATATATTTTTATACTAAATAAGTATTTGTATAAATACATCCATTACTAAATCATTAAATGTGATTTTTCAAATCAATCTTAAAATGTTTTTGATTAAATGTTATTGGTTTTTTATTATTATTTATAAGAATATTAATCAAGTTGAGCAGCATGTATACTCTATTCAAGAGTATATCAGGTAGTAAACGAAAACTAGTTTTGCCTGCGCTTACTATCCCATACTACCGGTTATAGGTAATTACGGTGTATGATTGCGTATATGTAATATATTAAATGATATACACATTTTGATTACACGACATACGATCGTAAAACAATAACGGAGTGCGGTGATGAGAACTGACCAGAAACTATAATTGCCGATCAATTAATTGTGGGGCCGGATTAGTCACCAGTTGTGCAAACGCAAACTGGTATAATTTGAACGAACTATAGTTTTGATATATCTAGTAGTAATATCAGCACATTTATGTTAACCTAACTTGATTTTTAAAGGCGTGTCCAGACGGAGCAGCTTTTGCCGCGCGGTAAATACGTGTCCACATGATGCGGAATTTCCCGATTTGTTTTAAAGCTATAATATATCATTAATACTATAGAGTTGTGTCGTTTTTAATTGGCAACAAAGTGCACGAGATCAATAAATAATCTATATTTTTGAGTCTTAAAAAACATGAAATTAAAGATTTTTAAAAACGGAGAATCTTCAGTATCGACATTTTGATAGAATAAAAATTGTGTCTTCTGGAGATTACTACAAAAATCAGTTTTACCTCGATGAAAAAAATTTGTTCTATTACTAATTACTTAAAAAATAAGTACTGTTGCCGTGCAGCTTTGCTGAAAATACGTCCACAAGCCGCGGAAAATATATTCATATATTCATACTCATGCCGCGCGGCAAAAGCTGCTCCATCTGGACGCGCCTTAAAACTACTATGAGGGTAACATGTATTAAAAATAAATTTTAATTCCTACATTTCTATTTACCTCAAACAACAAAAAGAATGATAAATCAGTAAGTTAACTCTATCAAGCTAATAACAAATTTTTCATTCTAATTCTCTTTTCTGAAAAAAATGTGCCCCTAAAAACTTTCTAATATGTCCAGTTTTAATCTTCTTAATCTAGTTAAACGTAGAATGTGTGTGTACATTTGATATACAATTCAGTTGCTTAAAAATCACTTTGTACAGTCAATATCGGTAGATACATTAATGTATTGGCAAATATATTTCATATAAAAAGAATCTATTATAAATAAACATCACAATTCATAGTTCATTCTTGTTATCGATTTTATATAAGTGATTTTCTATATGTTGTCATGACAACATAGCAGTAATATGTATAAACAAAGCAGCCAACGATTTTGTGAAAATTTACTTTAATTTATTATTGTTATTAATGGATAATTATAAAATCTTGGAGCGTATCGGTGAAGGAACTCATGGACAAGTGGTTCAAGCTTTGGAGCGATCTTCCGGTAAAATAGTAGCTATTAAATGTGTACGCTCATTGGATAAAACATCAAAGAATTTACTACGTGAAATTGAATCTTTAAAGGCACTGGAATCTAACTATGTGTGTTATGAATTTAGTATAACTTAGTTGATAATGAACTTTATAAGAGAGCATTTACTGTTTCAGGTTGTAAAGCTGTTGGATCATTTTTGTCATAATTTTGGTTTCTATTTGGTACTGGAATATGTGGTCTCTGGTTTACCAGAAATGTTACACGATGATGATATAATATTGAATGATTCTCAACTGAAAACATATGCTCGAATGCTTCTCAACGGTGTTGTACACATGCATGCGACTAACATCATGCACAGAGTCAGTGATTACAAAACATGTATATCCAATTATGAATAAAATTATTTATGTTTAGGATCTAAAACCGGCAAATTTGCTAATATGTTCTAAGGGTATTTTGAAAATAGCAGATTTTAGTTTGAGTCGACTTATATTGGCTAATAACGATAAACAATCTGGTGAAGATCTATGCTACACTGGACAAGTAGCTACTCGTCGATATCGAGCTCCTGAACTATTGTTTGGCTCTGTTCACTACAACCAATCCATCGATATGTGGTCGGTTGGTTGTATTTTAGCAGAAATGCAATTAAAAACTCCTTTGTTTGCGGTTAGCCATTTTCATACCTTTACTCGAGAACTTCGTACATATTTTACGTTCTATAATTTTAAGTTATTTGCCAATGAATATATTCCTAATCTTTATTACAACTTTAGGGAGATTCTGATATGGAACAAATTGCCATTGTTGTACATTATTTAGGAACACCAACAGATGAAACATGGCCAAATAGAAATGAAATGCCAGATTATAACAAACTTAAATTTACACATTGTGATCCAGTACCAACTAATGTATTATTGCCAGATATTGATAACTTATTAGTAGATTTAATAGGCAAATTAATTGTATATGATGCGAATACAAGGTTAAAAGCACAAGAGGTAATGTAATTAATTTTTACAAACTAGTATTAAATATAATTTACTTTCTTTAAAATTAAAATTATTTGGTTAAAATATAGTACAAAGGTGATAATTAAACAATTGTTCTAGGCACTGTTACAGCCTTATTTTTTTAATGAACCATTGCCATGCTTAGAACATAAAATGCCAAAACCACCAAAGAATCACAGGCAAAAACTTTTACCCAAACAACCAGAAGTAATTGAATGTATGGAAAAAAATTTTAATCACCTATATCATATACTTGATGAGACGCTTTAATGAAAAATTGTTTTTCAAACCAAGAAGAAAGGTATCTTAAATTTTTTACATATTCACTAAAATATGCTCGTAGATATTATTTTATATATATATATACATTAAAAAAAAGCAATTACATTTCAGAGTAGGAGAATATGATTATTGTTTATTACATATTAGAAAAATAAATGCATATTTTATATTCAAATATAAATCAAATTAAGATAACTAAAAAATAAAAAAGTTAACATTCTTAAAATAATATATGATTTAAACTTATATGAAATCTATTGACGTTATCATTAACATAATTGTTATTTAATATTAATAGGACACGATTTTTTTTTGAGTGCAATTTTTTAATTTTATTTCATCAGAAAAAAAATATTGGTTAATTAAAATACTCTAAGATAAATAAATAAATAAATAATTATTCAAAAACATATTTAATATTTTAGATAAATATAGACTTTCACTTGAAGTTCTAGATTAAATTGGAGTAACATTCCAGATTTTAGTATTGCAGTCTTGTCCAACCGACACTATAGTCTCATCATCCAACCACAGTACACGTGTGATTTGACTTTGAGGATGAGCATCTATAATTTAAAATAATAATGATATACGTCTATAATCAATGTAGATAAAATTAAATGTAATACTAACTTTTAATTATTGTATGTTTGTTAGGTGAAGTAACACTCCACACAATGATGGTAGTATCTAAGCTTCCACTTGCAACTTGTTTAGAGTTTGGCGACCAGGCTACAGAGTTCACACGTGCGTTGTGGAAGCCCCAATCTTGTTTGTGCGCCAACTAGAAAAAAATATAAAATTAATTATAAAAGTAAACTAAAAAATATTTTATCTTACCGACTATCCGATTACAAAATGATATATAGGCAATAAACGAAATAAATATACTAGTTGTTTAAAGAAGATATATTATTTTTAAGCTACATAAATTTACTTACATTAAATTCTGGTACTTTGTATAAAATAACTTTACGATTAGCATCGCTTGCTACTAAGTATTCGCCATCAGGTGAAAAAGAACAGTCTGTGATAGGTCCCAAATGATCACAATCAGCTGCATATTCCAAAGCATTAGTTGAGTCATTAAACTTGTACACATGTACCTACATTGATTTAATAAATAAATTATCAATTTTCTGGTAGTGTTAAAGTTATGAATTAATATACACACTTTATTATCCAAGGCACCTCCAACTGCAATAAAACTTGCATCTGGATTAATAGCCACAGCGGAAGGTTCATAATCCACTGGCAAATTAAAAACTTTCTTTTCATTCTTTAATATAATTATCTAAAACAAATAATTATTTGCTCATTAGAAATTTCAATTAATTATGTTTATACTTGTTTTAACCTCTTTTATTGTAGCTGTAACTAATACGTTACTATTAAAATCCATTCCTCGTGGTTGAGCATTTAATTTAACTTGTAAGTCTGTATATGAATTGGATTTAACATCAACTTGTCTAAGACTGTCATCAATTCCACAAGTATATAAATAGTCATTATCCAATTTCATTCCGTTTATTTGATTTCCATGACCTACACCTTTAACCCTGTCATTTTCACCTAGTGAAAAAAAATATATTATCTTTAATTTGAAAAAAAAAAAACAGAAATTTAATTTGTTGAATGATTCATTTTCAATTCATTCTAACCATTTTCAATACTCCAATTTACAATGTTTCCATCATGAGAACCAGTGTAAATAGTGCTACGATCAGGACTTAATGCTAACACTGTAATTGGCTTGTTATGACCCTATATAAAAATCAAAGTATTTTATATTTAATTTAAGTTAAATAATGTATAACAATTTTTGATTACATTAATATATACCATGCAATAATGATTTGTTTGCTTTTCTTTCTGCTCTATTTTTATTAAACTAAATTAAAAATATTAAAAGAAAATAAACAAATTTATAATGAAAGCAACAAGTAAAATTATTTACATTTAGGAAGTTTAAAATGTATAATAATTCATAGTAATGGTCATCATAACTAACCATGTACCATTTTCAAAACTTACATTACTTATAAGCCAGCTATAGTTATGAAAACTAATATTGGACTTTCACTTGTGTTACATTCAAATCATTGAAATAATTTATTTTATTACAACTATTTCACAGAAATTTTAAATTTAAGTTATTTTTTAAGACATTTAAGGAATTAAAATTAAAATTTCATATTATTTTTATATAACCTGTTCAATTCAACTATACACAAAAACAAATAAATATTTATAGAAATATTTCTATTGCGCATGTATATACTTTTAAATATCTATCATGACTGATGTAAATGATGAGAAAATTGTATATAAATAACTTCCATCAAAATTTGAAACACAAAATTACTCATCAGAGCTTTGAAGTCAGTATTTGACTATAGACAAACAATTCCCAAATTTAATATTTATAATAGGTTATTTTAATTACCTTAATGGTTCGTATGGGTTTCTCTGGGTTATTAACATCCAAGTAGGTAATGAAACCATTTAGAGAAACAGTTAATAAATAATTTCCTTGCCATAAACAAGACACCTAATAAAATGTCAACAAAATTATTATTTATACAAGTTAGAGAGAAATTTAACAAACCTGTTGATCCTCTACTTGGTTTCCAATCACAAATTCACTGACAACAGATTTTGTTTCTACATCCCACAATTTACATGTTTTATCACCAGATGATGTTAACAAACGTGTACTATCAGCACTCCAAGCAACCTATTATTGAAATTGTATATTAAAAATTATGAAATTTCACAGAACATCTCAAATACGAATAGTTTAAATTGTATTACTCCATAAACTCCTCCTTTGTGTGCTGGACTACCCATTTCAGAAATAAGATCGGCATTGGTTCCATCATACAAAAATACTTTACCATCAAAGCCTGCAGATGCAAATAAATTGCCATTGGGTGAGTAACGCACAGCTTGTACAAATCTTGAATGTTCCTATTTAGTAAAAAATAAAGTCAAATACTATAAACAATTAAAAAAAACAATATTTTTTTTTTTTTAAACTAAATAATAATCAAATTAAATGTAATTATTAGTACAATTTACTTGTTTAGTCATCTTAAACTTAAATGGTGGCCCTTCAAAAACACCAACTGTATTATCTTCACTACCAGTCACTATTCTAAATGGACGACTGGGGCGAAAATCACATGAATTAATTGGTTTGGATTGACCAGATATTTCACCAACTGAAGTACCAGTTTCTGACATAAATACATGACCAAATCTATAACAAGAATACAATATTTTAATACAGTTCATAGAGAGAAAATAATCTTTAATACCTTTCTCGTCCTTCACCTACAACCACCATACGTTGGTTATCTGGAGACCAGGAAATATCTTTAATTGGACCACCGATAGGATGAAATTCATTTTTCAAAATGTGCTCCTTATTTACAGTATCCCATATTCTAATTTTTCCTGATTGATCTGTAATTTATCAATTTATTAGTTAAATGTTTTATTAATATCTGAGAGATCTCATCAAACCGCCAGACGCTATGTAAAATCCACTGGGAGAATACTTTGCAACATTTACAGCACAAGAGTGTTCTGTATAGATATCTGATATTGCTGGGTTCTTGATGAAATATGAAACATTAACAAATTAGATCACATTTAATACAAGCCAACAAATGCACATACCTCTATATTGCGTATAATGACACTGTTGCCATTGGTGTACAGGAAATTTTTACCTTTAGGATCACCACCCAAAACAATAGGTTGTCCTCTTTGCGTACGTGGTAGTGTTGAATATATGTACTCTGAAATAAAATTATTAAATCATTTAAATCGAAAATGTATAGAATAGTAAGTTTTTGAAAACTCTAGATAACTCACTATTAGAATAGGACATTGTGTTCATATACTGATGGTAAAGTAAGTAGTCGAGAATTGTAATTGAGCAAACGTTGTTTTCAATATAATAGAATTATAATATAAATGAAAAGTTCGTATTAACAGTAGACAAATATTTGAGATGATGTTAAGGTTTTTTTTTTTGTTTTTATTTTACCGAGAAACCCGATACGTCCGAATTCTGATGATAAGCATCGAGTTAACCAGGATTACCATATAAGGAAAAGCAAATCTTTTACTGAAAAGCGTTAATTAATCGGTCACGAATTAGACGTGTGACATTACGAAATTATGAAATTTGTCGTCTTTCAAACTTCGTGAGTTAGTGACTCACGTCATAAATGATGACTGGTGTATGATTATATACTAAGCTGTAGATGATTGTCTATGGTCATGTCTGAGAACACACTAAATTTATCCAAGTGTAATTTCCATTGCGAAATAGATTACATTTTAGATTACATTTCTGATTTTCTGCTGTAAAAAATATCAATTTTTTTTTCTTTTCGTCTACAACTATTATTTTTTATATTAACATTAGTTGTTGCATACAGAAGAATACCCAATTGTTCGACATCTTGAAGCATAGTAAAAAAAAAAAAAATTATAATGATAGTAATAATTAGTCATGGTTATAACCACGGAATCATCTTGTTCGACGTGTTCCGTAGAATAACCATAGACCATTTCTCAATATAGCTTAAAACGAGATCGTGGTACCTAACTAACAATTAAATGTTGGCCGCCGCTTTCAAATTTGAACTGTTAAAGTTATCTATAATTATCCATAGCACTTCGATCGTTGTTTTCGTGATATTGTTCATCGGTCGACATAACATGCGTTTTTGTTGGACCCTAAGTTAACACTTGACGTTCATTACAATAACAATGTATTGTATAAAGTTTTAAAAACAAAGTCTGGCCTATCATTCAGCCTACCAGTTAAAAAATTATGTACTACTTATGCTTGTTTTTTTGTGCCATTTTTTTATAAGGGAACAAATAAAATGTTATTAATAATTCAAATATAATCAATCAATTTATATAAATTATTTATTGATGTCTCTAAAGCGTTCGACAAAGTATGGCACGAAGGTCTTTTATATAAATTAAAATTGATCAGTATACCGAAATACTAACTTTATATTATTAATTCCTTTCTATCGAACAGACAATTCTCCGTCAAAATAAATGACTCTATTTCTCTCTCCAGTCTTATATCTACTGGTGTATCCAGGGCCGGTTCAATAAAAAATAATGCATTAAGCAAAATCAAATTTTGTTACCTCTAAAAAAAAAAAAAAAATTTGAGCTCTAATTTTAACATAGCCCTCCCTCTTTTTTTATGTTACATAACTATATGAAATTACATACATACATACTATATGTTGGGAATATCGGGATATTTTTTATTTTAAGAACAAATTTGTAAAGTTGTATAATTTACTAGCTGAATTACTCGTCGTTGCCGGGTTTAAGTATATAAATGTATGTAACCTGCCAAGATTAAATTTTGTTAAATCTATTGAAATTTAAATTAATTAAGATTTTTGAAATAATATTTTATACATATTAATTTAGTTTTTGAGATAATGATTATTATCATAACCTATTCGATAAGTTATAGCTTACAACTACCTGAACCTCTCTACAGTTTAGTATTCTGTAGAATACATATAGCATCTCACTTCCGTTGATAGCAGTCAATCAGCTTACTGTTTTATATATACAGATAATTCATTTTCAATAGCGCAGTTATCGATCTGGTCAAAAAATATTAAAACGATTTCAACCCTTTAAATTCAAAATTTCAAAAAATCCTTTCTTAGCGCACGTCTACATCATAATAGCTATCTGTATGCCAAATTTCAGCCAGATCCGTCCAATGGTTTGAGCTGTGCGTTGATAGTAGTCAATCAGCTTACTGTCTTATATATACAGATTATAAATTCTTTGTATTTAGCATGTATTTAGATTTTAGTTATTCATATGATCAAATATTTATTACTTTTTAAAATATTTTTTACTTTTAACCTTATGAATACAATTTACATTCATTGTCCAACATGAACAGACGTCGTTTTCGTTTGACCGTTATCTTTTGCACACTACACTAATGAGCCTAATCTAATATCAAAACATGTCTCGGAATAATTCGAAACGCAATTTATCCTCTTCGTCATCATATTCACCCACAAAATCTAGCGGCAACCAAAGTAAGATATTCATCATACCAAATCGCTATGCTTCACTCTCCGAGGACAACATTTTCGATCAAGAGGTGTTTAACCCTCCCGTTATCACAACATCTTCCAAAGTCCAGTGTAACGTTCTGTGCGGTCACGTGGAAATCACTCCAAGTAAAACAAATTTTTTTTTGCACCTCCTTTCTATCTAAGCGGTGGCTACAAATTTTACACGCTCAAAAAAATCCTTACTCGACCTTGTCATTCCTTCGGGTATTAATTTTAAAAATATCCCAAAGCACCTGATTATCCGCACCGACGGCATCAGTAATTATAATCTAGTTTATAATTATCATATCATTAATGAACAAATAAATTTCCACACATACCTGCCTAATAGTTTCAAACCATATGCTTTATTTATCAGGCACCTCCGTCCGTCCACTGCTGTGAAAGACATACAAGCCAGCTTATTTGATATTGTCCACGAAGTTATTCGGGTCTCTAATATTGTACATCGTACCACTAAAAGACCTTTGCCTCTTTTTCGAATTGATCTGAAAATTGCTGATAATAACAATGATATTCTCAAATTATATTTGCTTCTTCACACCAGAATCAAAATTGAGCTGCCCAGGAAAAAACTCTCCCCTCCACATTGCCATGATTGTCAAGCTTATTATCATACTAGTAACTTTTGCCATCAATCTGCACGTTGTGTTAAGTGTGGAAAAAACCATTACACTTCAGATTGTACCAAATCATCATCAGAACTTGCCAAGTGTGCCCTATGTTCAGGGAATGGTAAAAATTTTACTGATGGTCAATAATTGTTGTTCTAACGAAGCAACACATTCTTGCAATTCATTTGAATTTTTCGGTAACATATGGTATAATGAATAAATTTTTTCAATAAAACACTGAAAATGATTCAATCCATTTACTTCTTTTAAACTGTCATTTACGGCCAATTTTAGGCGATGATTACAACAGTGCCAAGATATTAAATTTGGAAAATCTTTTTTCAGTAGAGCACTTACACCAGCATTGCGTCCCAACATATTAGATACACCATCATTTACAAATGATATAAAATTTTTTTTAAAAAATTCAAAATCAATTTTATACTTTTCAAGTACTTGCAAAATAGCTTCTTTTATAGTTATTGCAGAAGCATTTTTTAATTCAATTATATCAAAAAAAAATATATTTACTTCATTTAATTCACCAATTGCACACCGTATACAAATTACCAACGTTGATTTCTTACTTTGAGTTGTTGATTCATCTATCAAAATACATATTTTTCTTCGTTTTTCTACAATATCATTTGTTAATTTTTTTTTCATCTCAAAGGAAATATGGTCAATTATTTCAGTACATGTTACATTACTGTGAAGAATACATCTAAGATCAACTCCATTCATTACTTGCAAGTCAATTAATTTGGGCAAATCAGTTTACGGGCGTTGAACTTTGGAAATAAAGTATGTATTTCTAAATACTCTTTGTGTTTGCTTGTATTCAGATATTGACATTTCAAACAATTTTTCATCTATAACACGTTTTTTGCCTTTATCAACAATTTTTTGTGCATTTACATGAGATTTAGAAACTTTATGTTTTGATGTTTTTCTCAAATTGGTTTGTTTATTTTTTAAATTAGAACCATTTGGCGAGATTTCTGCATTTGGCCATTCAGTCTATATGAGAACTTGTTTTTTTTAAATAAGTTGAGATTCACATCTCTACAAAATGTACACCCAATTTTTTTCTCTTTAAAATACATCCAAGGGTAATTTTTGGTAAAATAAATTACTTGATTTGAGTCCCAGCAATCAGGATAACAATTATTGGTATCATGATAAGTAGTTACAATATTAGTCGTTGTCTGTAAATTTAAATGCTCGGTAGTGGCAGAAATATTTGGAACAGATAAATCATTCTTACCGCTTTTTGTAAATCTATACTTCAAAAGACTATTCATTTTTCTTAAGCAGTAGACAATAAGTATAGATAAAATATAATCTCTGTAGAAACAATAAATAAGAATGTAATTCCTAAAAAAATAATAATACGAGTAATGTAATTGTTTAAGTTTATTTCAACTCGATTGACTCAAGCTCAACTAATTTATTAGATTTTTAAATTTATATTACTTTATTGATGTTAAATTTTAAATATTAAAATAGTGTAGAAATACTATTACACTGATAAAAGTATACGTTCAAAATGATAATGTGCACGTAATCGTGTAATATGATTTGGCGCGTGTACGCAGTTAAAACTTATAGAAATAAATAATTAATTAAGTATAACTTTTGAAAATCCAATGACCAATAATAATAACCAATAATTAATGTAGCGTTGTAAAAGAAGATGAAAATTATAATATGAATAGATACTTATTATATTACGTAACCGTAACTCCAAAATTGTGAGTGATAAATGTAAGTGATGAAATACAATACAGACAAAATAGTGTGAATGAATACCCAATAACATACAAACACGGTATAACCGATTACTCTAGTAAGTACGAATGTACGATAAATGTATATTATTTTAAGTCATATTATATGAGTAAAAAATTGATAATTATATTGTTCAATAATAACCGTATTCTGTACATTGCCAGGTTTTCAGATGATAGATTCAGACGATAATTTGTTTCTTAGAACTATTATCTAACATTATCTGAGGGTGACCGCCGACGAAACGATCGTAATATTTTATTATAACTCCAATAATTTCAATGTGGATGATTATTTTTAAGAAACAGTTGAGCGTTTCAGTAAGCATTTCGGAAAATGTTAAAGGGGACGTCTTAAAAGCGCTTTGAGAGGTAGGGGGACTGAGTCCCCTTGCGCCCCCCCCCACTTTAAGTCATGTTTATGATATACATTAATTAGACATAATGCTGATAGTCTATCTTCAGTCATCATTGAACGAAGCCAGGTTTTTAGTCTCCGAAGAGTGGAGAAACTCCTTTCAACCATCATACCTCTATGGCTCTATATACATACTTGTGCGTGTCGTATGGTAGTACATATTATAATATGCATTTTTTGTTAACAATTTACATTTTTTTATAAATACGGTACAGGCTTGGGAGGAGACTGCGGTCTCTAGGGTCCTCCCTGGAGCCACTCCTGTCAAAAAGGGTTATAATTTAGTTAAATATAATCTTAAATCATCTTCAACATTTAATTTGTTTCTATATTTATTTTTAACATAAACTTAACCATTTTACACATAAATTATTTAAATTTAAAGTTTTGTTGGCCAGACTCGTACCCCTTAAAAAATCTCGAGTATCCCCAAGGGGTAATCGTACCACATATTGAGAAACACTAACCTACAAGATCATCTAAATCTACAATACAACTGGTTAAGAGCTGGAAAATACAAATCAACATTTCTAAAACCACAGTAGTCATATTTAGCCTACATCGCTATTCCATTCCACTACCTCTAAATTTTGAAAATGAATTTATTCCTCAAGTCTGTCAAATACCGTAACATTACCTAAGAAAAAAGCTAACTCGGTGGCTAGTCATATCTACAAAACTTTAATAAGCATAACCAGCACTTCTCATTGTTATTTCCAACACTAAATAAAAAACCAGTAATATATACTAAATGTTCAATATTAATACACAAACAATTACTACATCCCTACTCACTTATGGTTGTCTTATCTGGGGTGTCTGTGCAGCTACACACAAAAGAAAAAATTAAAATTTTCCGAAATAAAATATTAAAAACAATAACATACATAAGATTTATAAATTATTAAAATTCAAGACCATACAAGTGCCTTGATATAAATTTCCATAGTTCATTTAAATTAACAAGCTTACTACACCATATCAGTCAACCATTTCAAAGATGTCTAAAATACAATTGTACACACTTATTAGTTAATAGTACTAGTTCATAGTATAAACAGTATATTGTTATTTATTTATTTATTTATTTATTAAGAATTTACGGGCTGAGCCCTTTATAATTAAAATATATATGTGCAGAAAAGATATTACAATTATTATACGATGATAGAAAATAAAAACAATAGAAATACATTATAAGTGTGTATAAAATTAAAAAACAAGAAAGTTAAAGGTGGGATCCGTATTGGCTTGCGACATCAAACGTCTTAAAGGTTGATTTTGCATGTAATTGGTGGAACTAAAGGGTATATGAAACATAGCATTAGAACGGGTGGAACGCAGTGGAACTTTAAACGCAACTAGGGCAAGTGAAGAAGGAAAATCAATAACACCAGTCAGTAGATCTTTTAAAAATGTATTACCAAAGTAACATCGGCGCTTGGCTAAAGTTACTAAACCAAGATTAGTGGCAACAGGCGTGTAGTCATGAAGTGGACAATCAATGCCCATTAAATAGCTAGCAAACCGGAAAAATCTACGCTGAACCCTTTCTAACTGACAAGCATTTACAGCTGTATGTGGGTCCCAAATTACGGCACCATACTCAAGTATAGGCCGTACAATAGTACAATAGAGAGCCTTAAGAGATGACTTAAGGCCAAAGTCTTTAGCCAACCTCATAACAAAGCCCAATGTTCTTAAAGCAGAACAGCAAATCATTTCAATGTGAAGGCTCGGGTCAAGACTACTAGTAAATTTAAAGCCAAGATTCATAATAAAATCTTTACAACGTGAAATTACAGTGTCACGCAGGCGATAAGGGAAAACTAGAGAAGTACGAGATCTGGTGAAAGTCATGACCTTGCAATTGGATATGTTTAGAGATAGATTAAGTTTGTCGAATAACTCCACAAATCGATTAATATCACTTTGCAGTTTTAAGCAGTCATCATTCGAATAAATTTGCATAAAGAGTTTGACATCATTAGCAAAACATAAAAAACGACAGTGATGAAGAGCGCTACCTATGATGTTAATAAAGATATTGAAAAGTATTGGTGACAAATGCCCCCCTTGAGGTACTCCAGAAGAAGCTAAGTATAAAGTTGATTTAAAATTGAAAAGCGAGACTCATTGATATCTATCAACTAAAAAGGATTTAAACCACGACAATTGGGGCTCGCCGAAACCAGAAGCTATAAGGATCTGAATTAGAACATCATGATTAACGGAATCAAAAGCTTTGTGGAAGTCCATGTAAATGACATCTACTTGCGAACGTTGTTGAAAAGAGTTATAAATGAAATTACTAAAAACTAAATTACAGGTAACAGTCGACCGACCTGGGCGAAACCCATGTTGTTCTTCAATAATAATAGGGTTGATCGACCGACGAATATCATTTAATACTAGAGATTCCAAAATTTTAGAGATGTGAGACTGAATGGAGATAGGCCTATAATTCAGGACAGAAGATGGATCCCCTGACTTGAAAATAGGTATAACAGAGCTAAATTTTAGAATAGCTGGATAAATTCTTTCATCAAGAGAACGCTTGAATAATAACCAGAGCGGATAACTGATAACAGAGCGTAGATGAAATAAAAAATTACCAGAGAGACCATCTGGCTCAATAGACCTAACGCTACCCAGACTAGATAACTTATCAAACACATCATTAACACAAAAAGCGACATTGGACGGTAAGTCAAACGAAGAAATACCAAGTTCATCAACGTTTAAAGCAACCTTTTGAGAAGAGTACATGGAGGAAAAGTAAGTTGAAAATAACTCAGCAGAATCACGATCACACGAAGCAATGTGTTCATTGAGTTTTAAGGAACTAGGAATATTACTATTAGATCTATTTTTTTTAACAAATTTCCAAAAACTCTTAGGATTATTAATAAAAGACGATTCAACATTAGATGAATAAGTATGAAAACTCTTTTTGGATAAGTATTTAAATTTTTCCTTGAGGAAGGAGAATTTTTTGTAGTCGTAAACACTAGATGAAGATTTAAACCTGGCATGTGCTTGTTTCTTTAATATGACTAATTTTTTAAGTTATTTAGTGAACCAAGGAGGAAATGAAGAAAAACTATATTTACATTTAGGGACAAAATCAATAACCACTTTATGCAAGGCATCATAAAATGTGTTAACAGCAGAATTAATGTCAAGCGGCTTGAAAGTAGATGACCAATCAAATATGTCTAAGAATGTACTAATTGAGTGATAATCTGCTTAAGAAAAATTATAAAATGATTGGTCACGTTTACTGTTAAGGTCCAAAGGAGAACAAGATAGAGACATATAAAGAGCTGGGTGGTAGAGATCAATTGAGACAGCAGGCTCAAAGGATTTTTCAACAGACATGAGCTTGGTGTTACAAAAAACGAGATCTAAAATCGAATCATGACAATTGTGAATATTATTTAACTGAAAGAACGAATAGGTTGCGGATGCTTCAGGTACACACAACGCTATGGGGGACGATGAAAAAGAGTAATGTAAACCACAATCATCATTATCCCATAATATTTCAGGTAGGTTATAGTCACCACAGAAAATATAAATATGGTCTTTGAACTGACAGGTTATAGATTCAATAGATTTGACGTAAGATTTATAAATATCAGGATTGGAATGTGGAGGAATATAAACACCACTACTATTATTATTATACTACTATTAATTATTATCATTTTAAAATAACCAAAAAATTACGATTTTGTAAATATTCATGGATATAGATAGGCTACATAGTCTACGATTTTCTTATAATAATAATAATAATAATTATAATAATAATATAAATAATAATAAAAAATAATATATCAGTGATATTTTTATTTAATAAAAAGCACTTATTATTATAAGATATTGTAAATTTTAATACCATACAAGTACTAATTATTGCTAATTAGTACTTCTTGATAATTGAATTAAATAATAGAAATATTTATTAATACAAATCATAGATTAACAGAATATTTATTAATTAAAATGTTAGAATTATCCAATTTTGTAAGATAAAAATTGAACAATAGTTAACATTTATTTCTGTAATACTAAAATAGATGTATAAAGCAATATGTAATTTTCTTCGCAGACTTTAAGTTATGATTTGATTCTAATAACAATAATGAATAGCATAAAAATTATTAACTTATGCTAAAAAGTGTGATATTTATTGGAAGCACTTGATACTTATAAAATATAGATTACATAATATGTTAAATACAATATCTAAGCAAAAAATACATACTTAAAAACTATTTTAAATTATTTTTTAAATTAATGAAACGTTTAAAATTAATATCCTATTAAAAAATAAAGTCATACACAAATTTGTCAGATTCTTAAAAAAAACTCAATTAAGACTACTGAAGAGTCAAAAACATCCCAATTAACCTAAAATAATTTTTTAATAAGTATTTAAGTAAATTTTAAAAATATTAGTATTAAATGAGATTATAATTTTACAGCCCTTTATTGCAATACACTACAGCTGGTGGGTTTTTGCAGTTGCTGACAATTTCGCAGTATGCAGAATTCTCAAATTTCTCTAATGTACTTAATTTAATGGGGCTAAAATAAGACAAATTATCAGATGAGTCAGACAAAATATATTAATAATATACCTGAACTGAGGGAATAGTGCACAAGCAGTTGGAACCATACCAATTAGACTGGAAAAAAAATTAATAAAAAAACCATCAATATTCAGATTAATTTTTATGATAGTAATATTTATTATACCTTAAAAGTTAATTAAATTTAATATAAAAATAAAATACGTACAAACAACCAACAGCAAGTGTTTGAAATGGTGCATGAATCCATGTACTTCGCTTAAACCAAGCACTTTTATTTTCAAGTTTTTCCATTATAACAGGCAATAATACTACATGCATTTATAATAAACAGAGTTAAAATTGTCAAGTTTAAACACTTATTTATTTTCATTTAATAAAAATAAATGTATATCAATATTGAAAATTACCCATTCCAGGTGCACACATAACAATTCTTGATAATACTACTTGAGATATTCCCTTAGCAGCAGCTAACTGAAATTAACAAGTATTTGTAAAACTACAAATAAAATTTTAGAGACAGAAACATACCTTGGAACATCCAACTCTATTTTTATCAGCATCAAAAACATCTACACCATTCAGTAATTCATTCTGACGCATTAACGGAATGTTCACACAATTTGCTGCTGCTACTGCGGCAAATGGAACATATCTCTAAAGTTTCAGCCTTATTAGAAACAATTAAAAACTTCAAAAACATTATTAAGTTACTTGAAAAAAGAGTGAAGCATGTTTAGATAAGTACTGCTTAAACTTGATGGATGTTACACAAGCCGCTATTGTAGCTGAGCCATAAGCTGCAGCCATTTGAGTCTGACTAAGTGGAGAGTTAGCATTACGATTAGTATAATTTACTAAAGCGTTGAAGGACTGATTAATCCATTGCCAAAATACTACTGCTGGTACAGTTCTTCAAAAATAAACAATTTTGAAATTAATTTTAATAAATCATGATTATATTATTTACAAAAATAAATTATACTTGTAAAAAGATAACATTGCTCCAGTAATAGCCATACCCCCAGGGACTTGGAAGCACATTCGGCCGAATACATTTTGCTTTTGTCCAGTATCTGGATGAAATGAACTTTCATATATCTGTTTAGCTGCTAACAGTTGTTCAGTAGTTGATCCAGGTGGAAGTGTACCATTACTATAAAAATTATAAAATTAAAATGTGTTTTTGAAATTACTAAAAGAATAGATAATAATTTTAGATTTATAAATAAATTGATACTTACAAATACGATGTTCGTAAAGATTTTGCTTCTTCTAATTCTTCATCAGTTTTTAAACATAACATAGGGTTTGTAGCCCAAAAATAATATTGCCACCGGCCAGCATAAGTACTTTGATCCCAAGGACATAGTTCCATCTTAAATTGCGAACTCATTGTTGGTGATTTCCTAGTAGAAAAATAAAAATATATTCCAATTTTTTAATACTGAAATAGAGACAAATTGTTGTCGAAAACTTGTTAAGCCAAAATAATGTGAAATAACGCCCAAACTAAATATTTTATTGCAGATATTTAACTAAATAATTCAATTAATTGAACTCTCTAGATGTATATAGGGTTAAATAATAGCAATGACCTAAATGATAAAAAAAAATCATTAAAATTACAATTTAACATATCGATTGTTTTTAGCATGACTAAACTTTATCAAATAATTACACTAAAATGTTTGTTCTTCATTTAATATTTTGATAATATTAGTATTAGTACATTACCATGAAAATTTAATATTCATGTGTATTACCTTAACAAAATTTCGTTTGGTTTCCAAACGGTTTTTATTTTTATTTTATTTTCAAATTCCAACGAAACACATCCCACTTGACTTTGGGATTGAAGTCGAAATACAATTTTTTCAGTCACCTAAGTATTTATAGCTTTCTTTTTTAATTTTCTAAGACACAGAAGAGAGAAATATGGCGCTGATAATGGAACTATTAAAAAATAATACATGTCACAGACATGACAGTTAATGTCACACAATGTGCTTATTAAAATTTGTTTAAATTGATAGGTATTGCATATGTTTGTTTATGGTGTACCGCCACGGCCATGGAAGAAATCGATAAAAAATTATTTCATGGTGAAATAAATATATAATGCTTTGCTATTACCACAGAACATTTTATATTGCATCCAAATGTTATTATCGAAGTATGTACATTAATTGCGTGTTTGAAAAAAATTCATTGTACGATTTACACAAATATTTATGAATGTTTGATACTATGTATCATTGATCAATTTTACAGTTAACCCAAGTTTTTTGGAGTGATTGAAATCTTCCAATATATTAATGACACAAAGAAATTAATGTTTATATTTAATATTAGATGGAATCTAACCTAACCCAGAATTTTAGGGGGATGATTTTAAAGGGACTTTTGAAAGGAGATTTTAAAAGTCACTGTTTTTACTTAACTATAGATTTAGTTATCACAGGCGTGCACAGACCTGTATTTCAGGGAGTGCCTACAATACTTTTAGGCCTTATCTTAACAATACGTGTTGATATATTTAATAAATTATAATGTTTAAATAATTAAATATATCTAACTTTAGTTTTTATTTAATATTACGATAAATTAGTCTTGATGAATATATTTTTCTCAGATAGCTTCAATTATTTATTGGTACTTTTGTTGTAAATTTTAGCTGTTATATTATCATAACAAATTATTGCATAAAAATTAAGAACATTTTATTTTATTTTTTTTATTATGAAATATAATTTATTTTTTACTCAATAAACATTTTAGAATAAATTACATTTAATTTTAACACCAGTTAAAATATAAGCCCCTTACTTTTAGCCTTAAATTGTAGGGCCATATTTAAAACATTTCACCCAGTGACTAGGCATTCCCTGTGCACACACATATGCCAGTTATGAAAATACGTTTAAAATTAAATACATGCATATATGTACATTAATGTAATAATGGATATGGTCATATAGTAGGGTTGCCAACATTTAATTTGAAAAATACCGGCCTACGTGTACCAAATAAAAAAAATCATAATTTTCAAATCATTTTTATTTAATATTATTAACATTACATTATGTTAAAATAATTAATTAAAGTAAGGTAAATTAGAAACTTTTAAATTTATATTTAGCGGTATTTTTCACAGCATTTAACAAATGTTTTTTATTTTGTATTTCTTCAAAGAACTCCGAATCACGTGACAGTTACAATTAGTTTTTATTATATAGGATTTTTTATTTTTTAATTTTTCGAAGACTGAACAATTTTTTTCATAGTTAACAGAGGCATTATCAGCACCAAAAGCTGTAATATTTTGTATATATAAACCAAGAGATTCAATTACAGAAGTAATCGTGTTATAAATTGACTGTGAAGATTCGCTCGGTTCCTCGTAAAAGTCTAAAAGATAATCTTTCACTCAATCTTCAAAATTAAATAATCTAACTACTAATGGAAAAAAATGTTGTACTTCCCTTAATTGAAGTGTCTGTAGATACATAAAAGGGAATAGAAGTAGGATATTTAAATTAAATTACTACTTTATCAACAGCGAAAGGACATAGTACATTATTGACGATAGCTTACATTTGATTCTACCCAGGTGAACTTTATTAGCTATCGTTGAATCTAAGAAATGTTTCGACTCTAATTTTACTCCACAATTGCTAGAAAAATAACTATGATGGTGTTTAACAACAAATGTTTAAAACTTAACCTATTGTAATATATAATTGGACTATTAATAAATGTTGATCTTTGTGAGTTAATTATCAATGCCATGGCCGGTTTTAGCTTTTTCAGCGTTCAGTGCAAGAATTATTTTGGCAATTCTTTACCTTAAACGACTTAAACATAATATGTTTACCAACATTCTGTCTGTTTAAGTTATATTATAACTTAAACAAATTGAATTTTGGTAACTGGAGGAGCCTCATTATACATATTATAACCTAAGCTTCGTTTATAATCATAAATGCTCAAAATAATTTTTCAAACGTGCATATTTGCCACATATATGTAAATCATTCAGAGACCAAACATAATAATACTTGTAATAATACAATGATAGTTTATAATACTGTATTTGTACCTTTAAGAGTGGCCTATCCTTGCATGTCGATAGAATAATAAATAATGATAATTATCAGGGCTCAGGAGTTAAAGCATTTGCTTATTTTTATAGATTGACTTAAAATGTAGCAGCGCTATAGAAGTGTATATCAAGTTATAAAACATACAATTATGAAATTTGAAAGTGCCTTTTTTAGCTTTTTTTCAGCAATTTTTAAAAAAAATGCATATTTCCAATTTTTCTGATTATTTTTGCTTATTTGACCAGTTTTTTTTAGGTTTTTATAGTTTTATCCTGCAAAGTCGTTTTATTGATAGAATTAAAATTAAAAATAATTCTTATCTTATTTACGATGTCACGTAGTTCGTCGTCATCCAAGGCATCGTTTTAGGGTTAACAAAGATATTCCAACGCTGAAAATAGAACTGAGTGTCAAACGTCAGAATGATCAAGAACAGAAAGAACAGTTTACATTTTATTTTTCAAAAAAAATTCCTTAAAAAATCCATTAAAATCCTTAAAGTCTTGAAAGTGAAGATTCATTTTTATTTCGTTTGATTTTTTAGTTATAATTTTAAAGTTTTTTTTTTATAATAAACATTTTTGCTTAATTTTAAATTTTTTAAATGTTTATTTCAGTGCTTATAATGATGTTTTTAAGCGCTTATTTTAATGATTTTAAGTGCTTAAAGACCTGAGCCCTGATAATTATAGTAGTAACCAAATTTATATTGAACCATGTCGTAATTTTTTTTTTATTTATAGGAGATAATTTGTGTCACCAACAATTGATCAAATTTAATTCTAATTTTGACACCTCTTACATGCCTTTTTGATTTTGGCACCCTGTGCCGTCACACGCGTCGATCGTATCTAAAGCCGGTCCTGATCAATGCATAAATAAACTAAATAATAACGGTGGAATCTTGATAACTTAAAAAACTAGGTAGATATCTAAAAAATTCCTGTTTATAAATTTTCAGATCATAAGATAAATTTTCCTTGAACTGACCAAGTTAGATATTACTTCATTATTATAAAATATAAAATGTATGCTTAAAACAATATTTGTTTATTCGCACATTATAACAATACTACAATCGAAACATTACACTACGGTATGGTAGTATTGCCAAGTAGAACAATGCTTATGAAGAGCATGCTTTTAAGAAGTAATCATGAACAAGTTAATGAGGAAATGGCAATAGAGGAAAATATAGTGGAGCAGTTGAAAATAGACAAGAAAACTACTAACAATGGAGATAGAACAATAATTGAATAAATAATAATAATTAACAAAGTCCGTTCGATATGCGCGCGATTTACAGACAAGACACCATCTAACGTAATATTTAGATATAAAATAATATGCCTAGAGTACTATCTATACTGCAGCACTATTAATCGAAATTTAAAAAAATTAAGGTTATAAGCAAAATGTTGAATGCGTTTTGTGCAAACCGGTTTCACAACCACGCGATGATCACGTTTTCGTGTATCGATCATTTTTTATGCCACAAAGATTTTCTGAAATGAAAACCAAAATAAGACTTTTAAGTATAGGTCCGATGGTATGAATAGAGCAGCGGACGCGATCTCGGAATGTATTAAAACAAACAGCAATGAAAAAACAGTAGACAATACGATGGATCGTAAGATAAATGGGGAATTCAAACATTGAAGTGTCGGAACGGAACGGTCTTGGAACGCAGGTTATCCACACTGCCGGCGTCGCAGTCGGAAGCGCGAGCAACGAGGCGATTCGAAAGTGTGGAACATCACTGCAGCGCTGGCGAAACGGTTTTCGTTGGCGTATAACATTCCAAAGACGACCTCGTAGACAATACAAGCCGACGACCATTTTGTGTATCGCGCGCCGCCGCCGCGGTCCCAGGCGCGCTAATCGCAACCGAACAGTGGCGGGACAGGAGAGGAAAAAAATTGTGGGGTTCTTCACCGCGTGATAATACCATAGAGTAATAATAATAATAATGCGGATCACGATAGGCCGCGCGTTATCAGGCGATTGAGATCGGTGCTACATTCACGGTGGCCGGGATCCTTGCGGTTCGCGTTCTAGAAGGGACCGTCAGGATTGCAGGAGCTGTATGAAGAGGAGGGTTGGAGGAGAGTACGAAAAAATAAATAAACGAACGGGCGGGAAAAGTTGCATCACCCTCGTCCGTTGCGTAGTTGCGAAGCCGCCGCGGTACCAATCTGATGTTAGCACCGGTCTCCTCGCGCGTATAATCACGGCGGCGATTATTGTTGTATAAGTTTTTTTATTTATTTATTTTTTCCTACCGTTTATATACATTCATATACGCTCTGTCCGCATTATACGTCCCGCCACTGCCGTTGCTCATGGACGGACGCGGGTTTTGTTGTCGTCCCGCTGAATGTTATTGTTTCGCGTTTCTCGTGCGACCGTCGACGATTACCGTTTGCCCGTGTGTAGAACGACCAGACACTTAACCGTCGATCCGCACGTCATCGTCGCTGCTTTCTGTCTTCTTCTCGGCTCCGGCGACCGACCGGTTACTGGTTAACCGTGCGAGAGTCTGGTGTGCTTGTGTGCGCGCGCGCGCGCTCCCGCGTTTGTGTCGTGACAGACCTGCAACTGCGGTCAACTACGCGCCAACAGCTGGACTCGCGGTCGCCAACACCGTACGACATCCGATTTGGGACACGGGACAACAACGAACACCGAGCCACCATCCGCCTGACGGGATATGCCTCTGTTGCACAGAAAACCGTTCGTCAGGAACCCCGTGCCCAGGGGCCTGAGGGATACGGACGAGGTGTTCTACTGCGAATTGACCAAGGAAATTTTTCTTAGTTATGAGTGAGTACGCTTGTTCGCTGTGTCTCGTGTCTTAGAAGCGGACACGCGGGTCTCGAGATGGCGGCGGCTGCAGCCCAGTTAAATCCGCCCGCGAGTTTCACATGGTGCTCCACGATCGATTGATGTGCGGCGCCCACGCTTAGGTCGGAACAGTCTCGTTTTCCGTCCGTTTTTCCGTTTCCGCCGTGTTTGCTTTTCATGACGATTCCTTGTATGATCCCTCGACCGCGTCAACGTCACTTTCACCCCGTTTTTTTTTCGCGTTCTCTCAATTCGAGGTTAATTCTTTGTTTTTCAATTTCACTCGATGTTCATAGACGAAAAAGCGATTTTTGTTTTTCTTTCACTCGTTTTTGATTTGATTGGTATATTTAATACTATCAAAAAAAATTGTTCCTACTTACAACAAAATTTTCTTGTCTCTAATCTACTCTTACTAGTATTTCACTTGAAATGTGTCCAAACAAAATGTTGCATTTGCTTTAAATTGTTTTTCGACATTTTATAATAAAATAATGTGCAGAATAACACTAGAGTTTTACAATTACCTAATGGTGTCCTTTAGAGTTTAGCCAGTTATATTTTGAGTTATGTCTAGCACACAGAACAAAGAAAACTTAAATTTGTATTACATAATATGGTAACTTAAAAATAACCTAGCTAACTTTCAGAAGTGTCTTATACATTTTTCAATGGGTTCTAATTAATTTTTTATTGAACGAGTTTGAATTATTACATCAAGTGACTATGTCATAATAATTAGTATTAAAACTATTATACTTTAAAATTTCCCTAAATTATTAGTTCAATGTACATCAAATAACTGTTCCTAATACTTGGTGTTAGCCTGTTATTGGGGCAATGTCAGAACATGTAGCTGACTATTACAATATATTAATTTTTCTATTAGAATATCTAGATAAAATTATATTGACTATTTAATTTAAGATTGTAAATACTATCAAGGTTAGACAGTTGGGGATAAAGCTGTTATTTTCGGCACTCGAGAATATGGCTATATTAGTTAGTTGTAAAAATAGGATTGTATTAAAAATGCTTTCTGTTAAGATATGATTTAATTAAATATTTTTAGTTTTAATTATTTTTTATTTATTTATGCAGGCATTATGTGGAAAGAATTATTTTATGTAATTCACTAGTATGGTCATGTGAGTTGACTGGTAAAAAAAATATGACTTATAAAGAAGCACAAGATTGTGAACTAGAGTCAAAAAAAATGTTAAATGATTTTCCAAATGAGGTAACAATAAATTTTATTTTTTAAAATAGTAAAAATGTTCCTTCATTTAGATAATAATATATTTTATATTTTAGCTTCAAAAGCCCATTTTGTATTTATTGTCATTGACAAAATGTTCTTCATTGAAAGAGCTTATAGAACAAATATTTAATTATGTAAGATATCGATATTTTGTGTCAGAAATAGTGGATGTTGCTTTAGAACAAGATCAATGGTAAGCTTTGTTCCAAACATGAATATTGAATCTTGTATACAGAGTTTTAGTATTTATATTACATATTTTAAATAAAATTGAAATAAGTTTGTATACTGAATGATTATTCATTTATAGGTTAAAATGTAGAGTTTTAGCTGTGCATGCACCTTCTGACCAAAAAATTGCTGAAAGAAATCATCGTACTCCAACAAAGTATTTATTTTGTAACTAATTTTTTTCTTTTTTCAAATTTATATTTTGTATTATTTTTTTACAGAAAATCTAATGACAGTAATTCAAGTGCAGCTCTTGCATTTTATAGTTATGATGTAGAACTGCTCAGTCCAAAAAAAAAACAAAATCCCAACAATGAACCAATATATAGAGTGGACGGTGTTCAAATTAAAAGATCAAAAGCTTGTTTTACAAGAGATAGGTGTAGATTTTTTATAACTCATAATGTTGAATATAAAAATGGTTTAATTTCATTAAAGGTAATTTTGATTTAAACTTACTCAAATATAGTAGTATAGTTATGCATTTATTTATAGTTTTTATAATTAGGGTATTAATCTTTTAGGACAATGTTGCAAATAGTATTGCTAATTTAAAATTTGAAGATATATTTAGTGGAGAACCTCCTCAATTTTCTGAAACAAAAAAGAACAAAGTATTATCCAAAAATGGATTGACTAAAAAATTTAATAAATTAATGAACGGAGAGCCATCTAAAAAAGATGATAAATCAATGCAAGAAATGGTTGAAAAATTGAAAGAAGAAAAATTAAAAATAAAAGAAAAAAGAAAAGAAGAAAAAGAAAAGTTTTCAAAATTTATGAAAGAATGGAGCAAGAAAAAAGAAGATCTTGAATTGGAAAATTTGAAAGCAAGTACAATCTTAATTTTAATAAAATATAAATTAAAAAGTATTTAATATTTAATACTTAAAAATTAATATATAAATAAACAACTAATAGTTTATAAACAAGTAAATAAATAAAAGCTTAGCCTGAAGTATTATTATATTTGTTAAAAACCTGTTTCAAATTATAAATTGTTAGGTATATACAAAGTTAATAAAATCAAGTATAAAAAATATAGAAATTAATTTATATTTTAATTTTGAATTCAATTTTTTTTTTTTGTCTAACTGATGGTTTAGAAGGTGGTATTTACGCTATATTGGTTAAACAATTTAATTAAATTTAAATTAAGTACTATAAATAAAATTATTTTTTCAGTTGTAGGTTATTTCCTGTAATTACTTATCACATATTATTTTATAACAGAATTATCAGTTGAATATTTAGAGATAAATTTAAGGGGTCTTGATAGCCTTCCAATATTTTTGGTATTCAGTATTTAATTTTAAATGAAAATATCTTAATAACACAATTGATAGCTTTTTGTTGCGGAAATGTTTTATTTCCCTCTCTATGAAATATTTTAACATATACTACTGAGACATTACATTTTATATTTATACAGATGGTATATAGTCAAATAATAACTATCTACTTAATACATATACATATTGTATATATTAATTTTTGTTATTAATTTATAGAACAGCAAAATCTATGTAGTATTAAAACTGCATTTAATTAAATATTTATTGTTAATAAGGTTCTTCTTTTAGGTATTGCCTAATGTAAATCCTGTAAATTTACGAATTCCAAATGAATGTTTTGGAGATTTCATTATGATTTATGAATTTTTTCATAATTTTTGGTCTCAACTTGATGCAGGCAGTTATTTTCCTCAAGGAATGAGTATAGAATTATTAGAAAGGTGTTTGGTCGAAGAAGAAATTACAGGTAAATTTATAAAATTTGTTTTCTAAGAGTTTGATATATTTCTGGTATTAATTGAGTTTTTATTATTTTAGGTCCATTAAATACTTTGATTCAAGTGTTATTAACAACAATATTTGATCTTGAAGATGATGAAGAAGCTGATATGAAAGATAGTCATATGACAGGTTGGCTCTCTCTTTAAATCTTAACTATTTGTGTTAATATTAAAACTCTAAGATGGTATACTTCAGATTTATTAATTCATGGTATACTCAAAACTCTATTTTATAAATATCATGTATATAAACTTTAAAATTTATTTGATATATTTAATTTCGGGGGGGGGGGGGGAAATTAAGTATTCAGTTCTGAAAAAATTATATTTGATAAACAAATATATATCTATATGTATATAATTTATATATTTATGTACATGAATATAAATTATACTAGAGATTATATGTTTCTAGCATGTTTTCAATGTTCTACCTAAAAATCTATGTTGTTAAGATGTACATCTTAAATATTTTGTTTGTTTAAAACTCTAAATATAATTTAGGTTGGGAACCAGCATATCATATAATTGATGGTAAATTGAAAACTGCTGTACAGCTAGCAACTGATGTTAAAAATTGGACAGTACAGCATTTGGGTCAACCATTAAATAAAATAACATTACAACCAACTGTAATATCAGAAGTTCTAAGAATTCATTTATTATCATCTGGTGGAAAACATTCTGATCGAATGGCGAAGTGGATGTAATTAATTATAAAAAATACTACTTATTTATTATATTTGCAATAATTATTTTCCAAATTTTTAAGATACCATGAAAGAGGAAACTATTGTCTTACAGATGATCCTGGACTTTATTTTAGATTACAACATCCAGACGTATTAGAAGCACTTAGTCATCATCATATTTCATGCTTATCAATTCGTAAGTTATAAAAATAAAAATATTTTATTTTTAATTTAGTTGATTAAGTTTGTATTTTTATTCCATTTATTTTGTTAATGTAGCTAACAAAATGATGATAATTAATTGTTTGAGTAATCAAATTCTAACATTTTCTTCATATCGAGTACAGTTACAAAATACAGTTATTAAGGTAAAAAATGCTAGACTAGAAGTAAAAAATGCACAAACAGCTGAAAAGAAAAAAACTCAAGAAATGGTTCAAAAGTAAATTTTTTTATTTATTATTTAAGTTTTTTTAAATGTTTAATCATTGAAAATTAAATTTTTTATTTCTAGAAAGAAGGAAATGAAGGTATTAAATGGTGAAACACAGACAACTGTGGACACTCCTGATCAAAAAGCCATTAATAATAGATTAAATGAATGGAATAAAAAGCTTGTTGAATTAACTGATTTGGGTATGACTGCTCAAATATTACCTCTTGGTACAGATAGAGCATATAGAAGGTATTGGTTGTTTGCATCTATGCCCGGATTGTTTATAGAAGATAATGAGCCTAATCCTGGAACTTGCTTGCCTGAGTAATAAATAATATAATTATAATTCTATGTATAATTTTTTTTCTTTAACTTTGGTTTTTATTATTATAGAGGGACACCTATTTGTAATATCACTGAAAATGATCCTGTATCTTATGTTAAAATACTTTTTGAAATGAATGAGAAAGAAAATGTTGGTGAAGCAAGAGCCAGTTTGGCCAATACACCATCAAAAAAAAAACTCTTTGATAGTAGCAACAATACATCACTTATGACTAATGGAAGCTTTGTTGATCAAACAAAGTTGTTGTGTTGTACTGGGCCTGACAATCAATGTCCAGTGCATGAACCAAATCATAACAGACTTACATGGGGCTATTTTAACTCTCCTGATGAATTAGAAACATTAATTGATAGTTTGAATTCAAGAGGGTTAAGAGAAAGTGAACTAAAGAAAATGTTACTACAAGAAAAACCTCGTATACTTTCAAGCATGGAAAAGTGTACCAGTTGTCTATTAAATCCATCATTGGTAAGTGATATAAATGTGTTTAATTTATTAATAATTATATAGTATAGTTTTTTTTTTTAATGTTCATTTATTTTTTAATTCGTTTTTTGCTATCAATTTATAATTTTTAATCTTTTTTTTCCAAACCTGATATATATAATTTTTTCAATATATAAAAATCATATATGAAATCAGTAGTTAATTTTTTAATTGTATTTGAAGTTGAAATTAGTGAGATAGATTGTCAGGATTATTATGAAGAATTTTGATTCATTGTTCCTCCTAATTTTAACTATAATATTACTACTAGTTTTAAATTTTTATGTATCAACATTTATGAGAAGTATTCCTTAATTTATGAAAATAATTAATCTCGGTTTTTTGTATGTTTTATGTATTATTTTTACTTATTAACTATTTTTAGATGGCTGAAGATGATAGAAGACTTCAAAAACGTTTAAAAACAGAGTTTTCAGAATTTAAGAAACTTAATGTTAAATTTCTTCGTGTAGATTCTGATGTCGATTTATCTATGGAATTAACTCTTAGAGAGTATATTTTATATTTGGAAAGAAGATTAAATACTTCAGCACTTGGTAGTTTTGGTTCAAAAGTAAGTTTCTAAATAATTTATGCATAATAGATAAGTTTGGTATACTTTTATTGTTACTATAGGTTTCCAATAGAGATCAGTGGAGAGAGAATATTTCAAATGGCATTTATAAAGTCAATGGTATATTATCATGGGGAAACAGGAGTAAAGCTGTATGTTATATATTTATATATATATATATTAAATATTTATTATCATGATATGTATTTGTTTAAATTTTTTAGAATGGTGATAACATTGAAAAAGCTGGTTCCCCAGATCCTCTGAGTAAGTATACATGTAAACAAGTGAAACCTTCATTAATGAACAATTAGTAACAAATGTATGAGCATTATTGGTTTTATTTGGTTTTCAATTATTGAAAAATTATTTTGATCAAATTTAAAAAAAAAAAAAAATTACTGGTATTTTACAATGTAATGTTTGTAAATTATAGTTATGCTATAAATATAATTAAATATATTCATAATCAAATTAATAAATATGTTATTGTAGATTACCTAGATCCAGTTAAGTTTGTGGTTGCTGATATTAAAGCTGACAAAAAAATTTTTGACATGGCTTCTATTATCCTTAAAATAGAGCAATCTATTGAACCAAAATTTCTTAGAAGACCTTTAGGTACTTATAAATGATATATTTTAATTAATAAAAAATATTTTATGTAGTTATATTGAAAATTATTAATAAATAAGTCTTATAGTATACAAATTAAATTTTTTATTCATAAAAGCCATTTTCAATTTATTATTCTGAAATGTATTTAATTGTATTCTTATAGGTTATGACAGAAAAGAAAAAATGAATTGTGCCATTAATCCACAAATGGATAAATGGGAAATGTCTCTAATGAGTTCATTAAATTTTTCGCAATTATTTTTGCATTTAATTACATTAGGTATTCAAACTAAATTATCTCAAATAGCTCACAATTATTTTTTAATACTTTAATTTTTTTTTAGAAAAAAGTATTGAATGGTCAAAATCAATTATGAAAGTTAATTGTGTCTTATGTCGAAGTAACAAGGATGAAGATGTCATGTTGTTATGTGACAATTGCAATAAAGGTCATCATATCTATTGTTTAAAACCTAAACTTAAGGTATTGTTATTATATATTAATTTAATAATATTATATTTATTATTATTGATACTACATAGAACTAGTAATAAATATTATTAAAAATAATAACAAATATAACAATTGTGTATTCATAGAAAATTCCCCAAGGCGATTGGTTTTGTCAAAAATGTAAGCCTATAGAAAAAAATAATCCTGAAGAAGATGAACCTGAAGAAAAAATGTAAGTTTTAATGTTTAATTTAATAAGTGTATAACCTAGTTTAATTAAAAATGAAAAACTCAACCACTCAAGTGCTTCATTATTTGTGCATAAATCAATTACTAACCATAAAATATTTTATGGTGTGAAAAGGGTAGAGAGAGGTTTCTTATGTGTAAGTTATACCTTAAATAAAGTTATAGGTGTAGAACAAGTAACAGTTTTAAAAAAATAACTTTAAATAATAATTTAAAAAATAATAAGTTCAAAATGTTAATTATCTTCTATTTTATGTTTTTTTAATGATTTGCATTTTTTATGTGTATTTACTTTTTTTACAGTAAAATTGATATTTGTCATGTTTGTAAAGAAGAAGGGTCTGTAATAACTTGTGATGACTGTTTAAAAAATTATCATTTAGCTTGTCTTAATCCACCTAAACGTGCACCACCAAAACGAAATTGGACATGCTTTAGTTGTCGACAAACATCATGTAAAGGTAATATTTTCTAGTATTTCTTTGTGTTAATGGTTGTAGTTTATATCTTCTAATGTTAATCATTTCTTCGTAAATATTGAAGTATGTGTATTATGGTATATACACTATACAGTATACTTGGAAACTTAAGTATAAAACAATATTGGGAGTATTGATATTTTAATTACTAATATAAATTAAAAGCTCAATTGCTTATTGTAAATGCAATTTTTACTGTTGTTTAATTATGAATGACATAAGTGCATGTTTATTTAAAGTTGTCTTATTAATAAAAAATGTACTGAGATACATAATCAAGTATGTGTATATTTCATATTGGCATTTAAGTTTTGATAAAAATATTTGAATTTGAATAAGACTTATTTAAATGTTTACAATGCACTAAATCACAAACTCCAGTTTAGAATCTTGTACATGATTTTACTTTATTTTTGAAAATTTCCAAAAATTTTATTATTAAACTAATTTAACTAAGGTCGGTGATAGAAATCAACTCATAACTATCCAATCCTATTTCAATTGGATGAATATTATTTACAGATGAATTGGAACAGGTTGAGGTGGAAAGGTATAGCAGGCGGAAGAGTTCGCAAGCTGCCACTGCCAAAATATCTGAATTTGCCCGGCAACTTTTACATACGTCAGCCAGATGTTATGGTCTGTCTCTGATGTCATATTTATTAATTTTCAGTTTTACCAAAATAATTTTGATGATTTATCTTAGCGCAGATCCAGACTGTGTATATTTCTAACAATCCTAATTTCTTCTACTTATATATAATGCTAGTTTTTGTAAAGTTTTAAGTAGAGAAAATCAACTAATTATTTTATTAAAACTGATTTTCAGATTGATTTATAATTCTTATATGATTGAATAAGAATTGTGTTTTTTTTTTAATTGATTTTGTGATTTCTGGATCTGTATTATACAATATTTCATTAATACTACTGCATGTTAAACGTATTTATTAAAATATTCTATTTGTCTTTATTTCAACTCAAATAAATCAGTTGGTGGTTTTTTTTCTGATAGATTAGTTGTTTTTTTATATTGTTATTGTGATATTTAATTTGGTTTGATTTATAAATAACTAATAGTTCATTTTAAAATATATACATATACCTATGTATAACAAATTAATATTCCATTAAAAAAAATTAGTAGTTATACATAAATATATATATATACATACAATTTTAGCATGTTTAGATATTAGAGGTCAAATATTTTATTGATATTGTCATTTTGGTTAAGTTTGGGTACAATTGCCATCGTAAAATGTAATTGAGTTTACTATAAATTTTGCATGAGTTTAATTTTAATAAATATCAAGTACTAATAAAATTATTTTTTTATTTTTATTTATTAAGGTGAAGAAGAAAGTATTACTGAAGAGAAAAGTAGAAGACGGGGAAGAAATTCAGAACAAGCAACTTTGACTTCATCTGGAGATTTGCCATTGGATAATGCACTTCTACAGTTACTTTTAAACCAAGTCATGCATCATCCAGAAGCATGGCCATTTTTACGACCTGTTACTAAGTCTCAGTGCCCTGATTACCATTCAATAATAAAAACTCCAATGGATTTGGGTACCGTAAAGTATAAGCTTAATATGCTGTCATATAGAACAAATGCAGATTTATTAAGTGATATGGAATTGATATTTGAAAATTGCTTTTACTACAATTCAGAAAATTCTGAAGTTTTTAAGTAAGTAATTTATTAAAATTATAATTTATATAAAATTGATGTATTTAATATTTACTAATTTTCTTTCTTTAGATGCGGTGAACAAGTATACAATTATTATAAAAAATTATGCCAAGAATGTAATTTGAAAGATTGTGAAGATGATGAATATAATGGCCCTCCTGTTAAAAAATCAAAACATAGCTTATAAATTATTATAAAAAGTTATAGTAAAAGTTATGAGTAAAAGTTTTATTTGATTGGTGTTTCTTTACACAATCATCTAATTTTAAAAGTGAACATGTTAAATAATTATTCACTACACCTTCCAATATATTTTAGTTCATATACCAGTTCCAAACTCACATTTGTAAGAATTGAATATATTTCTGATAGTTCTTAAGGTGAATATAAATATTTGATAGAATATGTTAGTTTATATAAATTAAATTATAATTATTTTTTCTACTTGGCAATGATGCTTTCCTCCACCACGCAAATGACGAAAAGTGTATTGTGATCCTTTCTATTAATAATAGAGTTAACTTGCTGTATATTAATGCTAACATTTGTTTAGATAACAAATTTGTTTTTATATAAAACCATTGAAACATCTCTTTATTATTTTATTATTGTGATTTTTAAAAAAAAAAATTTTTATTCAAGTACAACAATTAATATAATTCTATGTTTAGACATTAAATAAGTCTAAGTGAAATAATACATCATAATACTACTTTATTTTCAGTTTTATGAATGAGATTAAACTTTTTAGTAATAATTAATGTTAGATGATTGTTGAACTAAATTAGTTCAACTTCCATTATAATTACGGTTTATTTTTACTAGCTTAACATTATTATTATAATTGATAATTTTACTTGTATATCGATCCTTGGCTCAAAACCATTTGTCCTTTGTAATATATAAAACAATTTCTTTTTAATACATTGAGCCTAGTGCTACATGATGTTACTAATTTTAAATTCAATAAATATATGTAATTATGCGTTTATGCATTAGATAAACGTGGTCCATATTTATTTTCTATATTTAAAAGTATTTTAATTTGTGTAATTCAATTCCTATTTTCATATTTTTTACTTAATATTAGTATTTTCTTTTTTTTTTTTAGTTAAACATTAGTATTTACATTAAATTTTTTATTTTAAGTGAAGACTGTTTTATTTTATTGTTTTGCCAATAATCCATAATCTACCTGCAGTTATAAGACAATGATTTAAATATTTAAATAATGTATTGTACTACATAAAATAATGGAGACGTATAATCTTTTTTTTCATTAGTAAAACAATTTTTGTATTTAATTACTTAATATGCATTTCTTGGGATGTAACATTTTAGTGTAATCTACACACTATGTTGTAAAATTTATATTTGAGCTTATCACTAATTATACCTATTTCTTAATGATTGATAAATCATACTTTAAAAAGTAAATATTTCACATAATGATTGCTTATGAATAGGGAACAGATTTATATGTAATAAAAATACAGAAATATGTACATATATATGGAAGTGTAATTTATAAAATGTGTGCTTAAAATATCCAAATATGTGGGGAAAAAATGTAATTAAAAAAAAAAAAAAAAAAACAATTGTAATTATTAAATTATCAAAATGATTTGTTGCATTGAATTATTACAATTTCTTTTAAATAATTGAATGTTAAATGTCACCTATTAGGTCTCATTATATTTTTAAAACAGCTAGATGATTATTCCACATTAACCAAAATGTAATTTGAGTATATTTGAAGCACATAATATCAGAAGGCGATAACTCCAAATTTTTGGAAGGGTGTCTTCTGTTAATTATGTCATTGATTGTTTTGAAATCAATATAGCCTGGATTTTTTTGATTTTTCTTTTTTACAACATCTATTGTTCTGCTTATAAGTTTTAATTTTTCAATCGCTGATTTGATAATTTGCATACTATCATTTAAGGATATATTTTTTGCTTCTAATTTTGTAATTGTATGTGCAATAAAACTAAAATTCAGTGAGATGAAAATTAAATTATTTTTCAATATTGCATTTTGCACAATATTTTGAGCTTTTTCAATAGCGATAGAAGTTTCTGGATCTAATTTTGGAATAAATTCTTGTATTTTCGTATGAAGAAAACATATGAATGATGAAATGATAAAATACGTTTAAAAATATTTACAAATTAATGAATTATGTAAAATAAAAGTAGCATAATTTTAATAAGAATGATTTAAATCATGAAAATTCTTATTGAATCTAAAATATGTTATTTTAATAAAAACATGCATTTACTTAAAAATCCGTTCCCTACTTATGAATAAAGATTATAAATATATTATTAACTCATATTTGATTGAAGTAACAATTACTATTACATTGCCTAGCTTCAAAAATTCTTTGATTAAAAGTTCAATGTGAAATATTTATAGAATAATAATTATATAATTTTAAGATATTTATTTATGGTTAATAAACGTGATTATAATCAAAGATTATTTATAATATGCAGAAGTATTTACTTCTACATATCAATACTATTAAGTACTTTTAAATGACGCCACAATTCGGTGTTGCCTAATAGTGTTTTAGGAGATACCTTAATCTTATTTATTAGTAAATTATTTATTTTGTCGCAAATAATGCAGACACAGTGGATAATGCTTATGAGGAAGATAATGGAAATCACCCATATATCGTGGTATAACAAATTGTATCTTGTTCTGGCTATTGGGTAATGAGTCTATCATAGACCGTTTATGATGAAAGTAAACATCATTGTCGTCTCATAATCTAATAAATTCTTCGATGTCACTGAATTAAATGGCTTCGATTGCACTAGCGTTAGGAACATGGTTCGCGCATTTCGAATTATGCCGCAATTTAATCACCTGTTCTATCCATCGTTTCTTCCAAACGTATCAGAACTATACCTTGGGCCCGTGTTATCAAGTCAAAACTGAATTCCGTGTTGCCTGTTCTGAAATCGTCTCGTATGCGTCGCCCTTTCAGTGAGTACCGTTTCAGAGGTCAATTATTTTTTTAGTTTCCAGCGAAAGTCCTACGAAAAGAAATTTACGGTGAGTTAATTTGTTATTACTGTCAATAGTATTCGATTACAACATGTATTCCGTACGGATATTATGACTATCTGCGTAAAACTCACAAGCGACGCGTACAAATGTGTATATTGGACTTGAGTAAAAACTACTTTTGGTTTTATGATTTGATTTTGTTTGGTAATATGTCTGTATTCGACAAATATTTCACAATTATTGTGTTAATAAATAAAAATACATCGAAAAAATCTGTTGCAGTCACAATTTTCACGGTTCATAATCATTTTTCTACGAGTGTATTGTAAGGATTCCCAGATTTATTTTTTAAAAATATGGGACAATTTATATCATACCTATACTGTAATTTAAATTGGTATTCATTTAGTCGAGGGGACTTATGTTAGCAATTAACACATTACAAAATTAATGTTTGTTGTATACAATTTTTGTAAACAATTGGTAGCTAAAATTACATTTGGCCTTGATGTAACATTTAATTTTCCTTACAGTTACTAAATATACTTATATATATATTTAAAATATAAAATAAAGTTATTCACAATATTTTATACTTGAAACAAATACAAATTACAATTAAAAATTAAAAACAAATAATTAGAAGAATTCCCTATAATAAAAAAAATCATAAGAGATAATTTTTTGGTTTTAAAAAAAAACACACAAAAAACAAGTCCATCAGCTGCACAGAGTTGTTGACCACATATTGGTAGCATTCGAGAGCAAACAAGTTTGCATAGTAGTCTTCCTCGATATTGCACAGGGTTTCGACTGTATTTTGCATCCAAGCCTTTTCTTCAAACTTAAATCCTTCTTACCCGCTCCATATTATTTACTAATAAAATCATACCTAAACCAAAGAACATTCGTCACAAAAATTAACGGTGCTTTTTCTCATTCTCAAATAGCAACAGTAGGTGTTCCTCAAGGCAGCGATGTAGCCCCTATCCTTTTCAATATCTTTACCAGTGACTTACCTTTAAATCCAAACACTCTACCAGGTACATTTGTGGACGACACTGCTATTCTCGCTATCGACAACGATCCTAATCAAGCCACTCAAAAAATCTAAAACCACTTATCTGAGCTAAACATTTAGTTTCACAACTGGAAAATCAACGTCAATCCAGCTAAATCCGCTCAAGTTACCTTCACCCTATGCTCCTTGGAATGCCTTCCAACGTTTATCGAAAATACTCAAATACCCTCTCACACACAAACTAAATACCTGGGACAAACGCTTGAAATATGCCTCACTTGGGCTCCTATTTAAAAATCAAACGCAAAGCTCTCAATTCGAGACTTCACCTTCTTAAACCTCTACTCCACTCTAAGCTCTCCATCAAAACAAAACGTACAATCTACCTGACTCTTTTAAGACCCATCTGGTACTATGGTATCCAACTTTGGGGCTCAGTGAAACCGTTCAACACCAGAACAATACAGGCTTTTCAATCTATTTGTCTACGATTAATAACAGGTGCTCCTTGGTACATCACTAATGACTCATTACATAAAGACATTTGCATTCCAACTTTAAACAATCTTGCTACACTCACTTACATAAAAACACCCAAAACTTTCAACGCTCACACAAATCCTATAATCACTAACCTTTCATCTAAACAAATTCCAGGAAACCTACCCAGGGGCCTCAAAAGGAACTGGTGCAGGGATCTACTCTCTCCCTAAAACATTTTCCTTTGGAGTGTCGCTAATGGGCGATTTCCCCTTCCTGTCATTCTAAAAAAAAATCATCCAATTTACTGATTGTATAACTAGTAAATACAGATTGTAAATATAAATTGTTTTTCAAATAAAATAAAAAAGAGATAATTTTAATTTATTTTTCAGATTTTTTTCATAATCGTAATATTATTAATTATCATTTGATTTGGATATTATAGTTTATCAATAATAAAAAGCTAAATTATATGAAAAAAAATTATTTTTTTAAATAGGTATATATGAGACGGATTATACAAAATACAGGGCAAAAGTGTTATTTTTAAACTTGTGTCAGGTTAGGTAATTTTTACAAATGTAAACCTGTAACCTTGTAGCAGGAGCATATTTATGGGGAGGGTCTCGGCCCTCCCCCAAAATGAAAATCATCATTGCTAAAAATTATTATTTTTGACATGGATGTCTTAATGCTGTGGGTTATTCCGAAAATTTGGCGTGACACTGAGACTGTTGCTTATGTGATAATTTAAAATTTATAATTAATATTTAAATAATAAATATTTATAAAATATGTTTATTATAAGAAAATATGTGGTGACTTTTGAGTGATTCTATATTCAAGTAATTGTTGTCGTAATACTGTGCTTCCTTCTTCCTTTCCCCCAAAAATTAAATAAATGATCGGCCCCCCTCCGAAATGAAAACTTGTTTATGCTACTGCCTCGTAATATATTTGAACATTAAAAATTTTATCAAGGCTTATGAGAAATTGAGATACTTTTCATTATAATCTTGCTTCGTTAATGTTTAAATAAGTATAAATAAAGTTTTATTGGTTAATACAATTTAATATTCTAAGATATTTTTATATTGTAGCAAGATAAATAATTTGATATTTCTTTTTTTTTAAAACATATAGATGGGTGATGGTGAAAAATTGAGCCGAAAGATGATCTTTCCTTACACATTTACTGCTAAGGTTGTTCAGTTTCCATTTAAAATGCATTTTAAACACCACTGGATGTTTCCATGGTTCATTGGAGCTGCTGTTATGGTCGCACCTGTGTTCTATCAATTACAGAAGTTTGGTAATATATCTTATAATACATACTAATAATTAACTACTTAACCTGTAAGAAATGTATTGTTTTTATAGCCAACAATGAAGCCAATATAAAGATATGGGCTGATAAAAGGAGGAAGGAAGAGGAACATCACAGACACAAGTGGGATTAATTGAAATTGTGAATCAATGTAGAAGATAAAAAAAAAAAACAGAAACTTATTCAACTCTTGTATATTACTTCTAATAGCGTTACTACGAGTTATAAATAAATATTTAAATTTAATGTAATAAATATAGTTCAGGACACATTTTCTTTGACTCTCGTCCATTTTTCACTTACTTTCCATAACCATTCCACATCTCTTTGCCTGCGTACTTGATATGGCATTGGTATTATTTCAAAGTTACTGAAATAAAAACAAGATAATACAAGTCATTGATATTATATAAAATAACAATAATATTGTTATTTTATATATTATATTCTACTAATATTATTAAAAAGTTGAAACCATTTTGAAGGTTAAATTACCTAATGAACTGTCCGGTAATATTTTCAAGCTCTGGATCTAATGCTGCATAAACTAATGTTTGAGATCCTTTAGCTGCTGATTTCAAAAATAACCATGCCACAGGCTTTATGAAAAACCTTGTGAAACTATTGTAATAAGGTAAATGCCTTGAAATATCTGTTGTACACATACCAGGATAAATTGCATTTGCTGTTACTCCAGTATCTGTATAATAATTAATTAACTATTATTTTGAATTTTTGTTTAGATTATTAATTTTTATTACTGGTTATTTACTTTTTACAGTAAAAATGCAAAATATAATAAAGATATTTTGATAACATTTATTCTATCAATTTTTATTTTTTTATAGTTTATAAAGAAATATATTTTAAATTAAACTATTTATAATGTTATATTTTTGTTTAACAGTCATTTTAATTATTTTAACTGTAAATGAATATCTTATTTTTTATTTTAAAACTTTATAAGCAAATGAATGAAAATATGAATAGAGTTATGCAGTAAAATTTAATTATCTCTTGTTACTCTACTTTCTTATAAAAATAATTCTAATATGACAAATAATTTATTTTAATGGTTGGTAGACATATATACATTTTATGATTGGTTTAAAATAAAAATTAATTTAAACTTTTATCAACAGTAAAATTAAAGGATCAGAGATTAGTTTTAAATTTTTTAAACAATTACAATATTTATGTACTATGAAATACAGTCCTTGCTTATAAATAATTAATTTTGTAAATTAAATAGGCAATGACTGTATATTGGCTTTCTTAACATTTTTATGATTACATAAAAACAAACCTTTTAAGTTTTCGGCTAATTTAGCAGTAAACATAAGATTTGCCAGTTTACTTTGGTTGTATGCTTCCTCTTCATTATATAAAGTACTTGAATTTAAATCTTGTTTATTAATTTTACTTGATGCATGTTTTAATGTTGTTACATTGATAATTCGGCTCGGAGCACTTTTTTTTAAACAATCCAAAAGTAAATTAGTTAACAAGAAATGACCCATATGATTGACACCCAAATGAGTTTCGATCCCTTCTTTGGTTAATGACTTTTTACATCTCATTACTCCAGCATTGTTGATTAATACATCCAATCTATTAAATTCTAATTTAATAAAGTATTACTGGTAAAAAGTGTATAAAATGTATTAAGTGATTAAAGTATCAGTTCAAACCTTTTTGAAATTTGTCAGCAAATTGTCTAATAGATTCTTGTGATGATAAGTCACATTTTCGACAGAATAGTCGTTTGTTTCTGGACATTAAAGCTAACTCAACTCGACTCTGTTCTAAGGACAACACTTATTAGTTATAATAAATATACATTTTGCACTCCCTTTCAACTATTTATAATCTAAACTCTAGTTCTTAATCCTGTTAGTTTCAACTTCTTACATCATACATACTTAAGCAATTCTTTCACTGTTTCTATGAATTTATCTCATTCATAATATCCTTTAGACATCCACTCTCAATGTTGGGGTTTTTTTTTTATTAGTATTTGCTTTTTAATTAAAATAAATACTAAATCTACAAACTACTTTATTTAATAATCTTACACTTCATAAGTTGTTTCACTAATTCCATATTTTTTTTTAATTTCTTCCTCTAAAATTACATGCCATGTAAATATATGATATATATATTTTTATATATATCACATAAATATATGCATTGCTTGTATATATAGTTATAAGAGAATACTATACTTAAAATTATTTAATAGTTTGACTAACTAACATAACTAATTAACCTAATGTAACCTGATTGTCCTGTTATTAACTCCAGTTCTAAAATATTAAATATATAAATTTGTTTGTAAAAACTTATTTTATGCTTAGTTAAGCTAAAAAGAAAACTATTTAAAAACTGGCTGAGGACTGAATTTCCATAGGTGTTAAATAATCAACTTAGATGAAATGAAAATACAATACGAATGTTTGATCAGCTTGGTATCATACTAGTTAATGTGTTATGATATTTAAGCATTAACCTTTTCACATTTTTCTATATCCCGACAAGCCATCACGACCGTAGCGTTTTTGATGGCCAATAATCTAGTTGCTTCCTTGCCGAGTCCAGTGTTTGCACCCGTGATTATGATCACTTTATTGGCTGCTGTAGTCTTCATTTTGTAATCTTTTCCCGAAAACATATCTCTGAGAGAAGATAAAAAACAACAGTATAGATAATAATTCTATATTCTTGTGTTTGAGTAAGTAGTTGACTAGAAGGGAAAAAAACTACAAACACGTACTTGACTAAATAAGCGCTGCCGCATACCGTTCCGAAAACGCTGACATAAATCAAAGGTTTTGGAATATTGATCATTATGGTCAAATGTTAAGCGGTTAATAATATTCTAAAATATAAAGATATTGAAAAATACTATTAAGATATTATGAATTTTCAATCTTATTCGGCAGATTTATCTTCAAAAAGGTAATTTCTCTTTCTTCAAACTCGTTTACTCTTCATAATTTTTTGAACAAACGCTTATCATAATTCCAGCAGATTTACGCTATCACCAATATGTTGTTTCCTTATCTCTATCTCTAGTATTCGTGGTAATCATTAATTATCATGAATATGTTATACTTAAATATATTACATAATCACCAATTTCTAATTGCCGTTTGCTAATTATCGTATAATTTCTAGCTGAACTCGATCGTCAGTCAACAATTTCTACATCAGTTCAAAGATTTTTTTTTTTGTTCACTAACAATTATTTCAGCTTATAACGGTTAAACGACTTACGCGTTGCTCGCGTTATAAATTGTTTTTGGATAACACACTCTACGAAATTAACCATGGCGTCTAAATTAGTGAAGTTCAACAACGGTCAGTTTTACCCGATCTTAGGGCTGGGGACTTGGCAGGTAAGACGCTAAGGAATATTTTGTATCAATATCTTTAATGATAACTGAAAAATATGTATGTTCTAGGCGAGTGCTGTTCTCGACGATTCACAACAATCTATGATTGTCAATGCTATTAAGAATGCAGTGGAAATTGGCTATCGTCATTTTGACTGTGCTGCCATTTATAATAATGAAAAATCTGTAGGAATGGCGATAAATGATAAAATCGCAGAAGGAGTTATTACAAGAGACGAAGTATATATTACTAGTAAGGTATGTTTCAATTACAAAATAGCATTATGTTATCAGTGGCGTAATTGAGAATGTTTCATAGGGGGGGGGATCAAAATAAATTTGTATGACAAACTTGTGGGGGCAATGCTTGTGAAATTCAGTATCATAATTTAGTCTGATATTTTTTAATACAATAATAATATCTTCAGCAAGGCTTACTGCTTTATACTTACTGATTTTCGACTGAAAATCGAATTGGGCAAATGATCTAACCCAAGAGCTCAAACATGTATAATTTTCAATATTTCATGATTTCAGTTTCTAAAAGGTAACATACGTTTTCTTACCATGTGGATTTGTCACAAGAACCTGTCACAATTTATGCGTCATACATCTTCAATGTCATTAAAATCCTCTATCCTTTGCCTATGTCATATTCTAGACACAAATATGATATATATTATATATATATATATGTGTATATGATATATTTAAATATGTAAAGCATATTTTATTTAAAAACTTTTGGCTAGACGGATTGAGAATTTATTTAATTATTGTGATCAACTAGAACATTTGGAACAGGTTCTTGGGTAATTTCTCTTTCCAGTTGTAATTGTAACCCTTATTTTTCACAGTTAAGATCACTAACTTAAGTTATTATTATTTTATGTCTTATATTGTAATATTTTGTACAAATTAATCTTCAAATAGTTAAAATTTTCAATATTGTAAGAGTCAAGCTATATTAGTAAGCAGAATTGTACTAAATACTTATTTATTAAAGTTTTTCTTTTTTCAGCTTTGGAATAACAAACATAGACCTGAACTGGTAGAAGAAGCGTTGAAGAATACTTTGAATGATTTAAGTTTGAGCTATGTAGATTTATATCTTATTCATTGGCCATTTGCAACTAGTGTAAATTATTCATTATAAAATGTAAATTAAAATGTATTAATTTTTAGTAAAATTATTAAATATTATAGGAAGATCCTAATGCTACTGATAGTGAAGGACGATTATTAGGTTCTGGTATATCTTATTTAGACACATGGAAAGCTATGGAACGCTGTGTTCAATCAGGGCTTACTAAATCAATTGGAGTCTCAAATTTCAATATTAGGCAGTTGAAAGATATTTTAGAGATAGCAACTATTAAACCAGTTGTTAATCAGGTAAATTAATGGCAAATGTTTTGTATTATTATTATTAATATTATTATTTTATTATACTTTACTTATAATAAACAATTTATGAAATATGATTTGTATATAATTGTATTTATTTTATTATTTTAGGTAGAATGCCATCCCTATTTAACACAAAATAAACTTATGGAGTTCTGTGAAAATAATAATATTTTTCTAACTGCTTATGGACCATTGGGCTCACCCAAGAGGTCATGGGCAGGACCCGAAGAAGATGCTATTTTAGATGAACCTGTTGTAAAACAGGTTGCTGAAAAATATAAGAAAACTAATGCTCAAATATTAATAAAATTCCAAGTAATAGTTTTATTTATTGATTTTTCTCTTTATTTAATTTTGTTGTATTTAATAATTTAGATCCAAAGAGGTATTATAGTTATACCAAAATCATCTAATCCAAAAAGGCAAAAAGAAAATTTTGATGTTTGGGATTTTGAATTAAGCAAAGAAGATATTAATTCCCTTGAATCATTAAATAAAAATGCTCGTTATTTTGAATTCAATACGTAAGTCAATATTTGAAGTTTTCCTTCATCTCAATTAACTATTTTTAACTATTGTTTTTCAGAGCAAAGCATTTAAAAGACTACCCATTCTTTGATGAAGCTTAATCAAGTGCAAAGATCTTAGTATTATTACTGTCAAATATATTTATCAAATATGAGAGTATGACATATGCATATAATTTTTTTTGTATTTAATCATTATAATCTAAATTAAGGGTTTAATATTAATTACTGTTTATATAAAAAAAAAAAATATAATTTCTTAAACAAATATTTTTCTTGGTTTTGCCAAACTAGATTATATATTTTTGGTTGTTTTCTTAACAATTTCCTAGTCTGATTTGTGACGACCAATCATTATATTTATGTTGCTTTTATTGTTTTTGTTTTTTATTACTAGCAAAATTACAAAGCATATTCAGATTAAGTCATATTTTCATTATCAGATATAAAAACGAATAATTATAATACAAATATATTGAGTTTAGGTCTTAAATAAGAGTGCACAATTTATTTAGATGCTACAGAACACACTACTTAATTTAAAAAATTAGATCGACAGTTTGTTAACTGTAAATTATTTATTTACAAAATATGTTTATGTTCATTACACATGTTTAAATGTTTTATTTGTATCATTGCTTGTTAAAAAAATTTATAACCATAGTACAAAAATAATATAATGAAATTTAATTAATAATGATTTAATTTTTATAGTCTTTAAAATAAAATAATTACTCTTGGTACAGTTAAAATACTTTTTGTATTAATAGTTCTTAGTAATGATATTGATGCTATAGCAGTCATCCACCATTTAAAGTTTTCTAAATACTATTAAATGTAATTTAATTGCTTTAACTTGGATGATTATTTTTATAGTACAAAATAATTTGTTTTTCATGTGTACTACAGTAAAATATGAATAATAGGTACATACATTTTGTTATCGTTGACATTATGATATTTCACTTATCATTGTGTACTGTTTACGCATTAGATAAACCATTTATTAAAACGTTTTATTTATCATTTGCGTGAAGCAGGCGAAAGGTTATAGGTTTAAACTCCGATCGCTTGGACTATAGTCGTGGTCGTCGAGGTTTCGAAAATGATATATATTCATGTATTTATTATACAGTGAATAATATACACGTACAAAATGCGATTCATCGTTATTATCACCATGATCTCGGTCCAGTAAGAAAGTGTCGTCCTTTCCCTTACTGAACATGATTTCAGTCGCATTTCAAAACCTTCCTATAAAGTTTTTCGTGCAAACAATTTTAAACGGTATATAATGACAGTCTAATTTTGATACTAACTATCGTTTTTATCGTGTATTTTGTACCCATTAGTATGCAATTTCCTAGTATTAAACACATCTGTCCAGACATATCTGCGGACCATAGTTTTAAATGCGTTTGTTTTGATGATTATAAATTTGTTCACTGTTTTTTAGTTTAAAAGCGTTTGCAATAAGAAAACCACAGGAATTTTTGTTTATTTTTTATTTTAATAATATTTCAATTCTTATGAAAGTGCCAACATCGTTGTAATTATATTGCACTGTTCAATACAAACTTCTGATAAATTCTACTGTAATAAAATCGGTGCACATTTTTCTGAAACATTTTTAGTGCTTTATAGAAAATATAAGGTAGTATTTACAATACACACATCTTATGCATTCAATACATTTAGGAAAAATTAATTTTTGGTTATTTTTTAATGACTGAAAGTCATAAAAAATTATATTCATATCCATCTTGCAAATTAAACATCTTAGCATGAAATATCGGGCAAATGTAAACTCCCCTAAAAACATTTTGCTACCGTAATACATTAACGTAAACTCCCCTAAAAACATTTTACTACCGTATTACACTTACGTAAACTCCCCTAAAAAAATTAGAACCATTTAGCGTAACCCAGAGGACACCACGTGGAGGCGGTTCTAGTTATCCTCCAAAAATATTTGTATTTTTAACTGCATATATATTTCTTTATTCATATTTTATAATTAGAAAAATTAATTTTCATCGTTATACTATTAAAATTATTAAAGTTGATTTTATTATGATGATTATTTTTTGATGGAGTAATAATGTGAAACAGTTTTTATATAATGAAATGTAGTAATTTTTTGTTCTTTATAATTTTCTATTAGCTAGTTTAATTATTTTTGACGTTTTTTTAACTTATTATTATTACAATTATTTGGTTTGTGTATACTTTGTAATCTTATGTAAAGTTCTGATTGAATATTTTTTAGTGTATCAATAAACTTAAAAATATTTGGTTGGCTATGGTTAAAGTTTGATTTAAAATGAGCATGGAATGATTCACAAGCATTTGTGGATTTTGTTGATTCGGAAGATGCTTCTGCCTAAACTGTAGGTGGAAAAATTGCTATATTGCTTCAAATATGGACTAGCATAGTTTTTGTACTGACCTTTTCAATTATCAATCATTAAGAAGTACATAATTTAATTTAATACCAGTAATTCATAGCCAAAATAAAATCAATAAAAAGTATAAGGGACCGTAAAATGTTAACTCATAATGGTTATTTGTATGATATTTTTCTAATTATAAAATATGAATAAAGAAATATATATGCAATTAAAAATACGAATATTTTTGGAGGATAACTAGAACCGCCTCTACGTGGTGTCTTCTGGGTTACTCTAAATGGTTCTAATTTTATTAGGGGAGTTTACATTAATGTATTACGGTAGCAAAATGTTTTTAGGGGAGTTTACATTAGTTTAATACGGCAGTAAAATGTTTTTAGGGGAATTTACAATATTTTAAGGGAATTAACATGTGCCCGAAATATTGCGGTCAACAAGTCGGAGTTAGGTCACAAAACATGGGCGCCGCGAAAGGGGCGTAAGGGGGCGCACTTGCACCCCCCGGGATAAAAAAAAAGAATAAAATTTAAAAATGTAGAATAAATATATTATGATTATCGCATTTTTTAGTAGCCCGCATATTACTTTGTAGCCGTCAAAAAAAAATGAAAATAATTTTGTATTGTTTTACAATTTGAAAAAATAAACCTAGGTATGTATTTAACTTAAATAATTTATGCATTATTTAGAAATCAGCATATAATATCAGTGTATGATGCACTCTCCTGACGAAATTCCTGGCGGCACTTATGGTCGCAACTGTAAACATAATAACTAATTATTAGTTATTAGTAACCAGTTACTAGTTAGTCGCAATATACTTATTGTGGTTTGGTGTGTACGTGTAGATGTTCCAACCATCAAGGATTACTGAAATATTAATTACACTAAGTGATTGTTGATGTTAATATAATGCAGCGATCGCCAACCGGTGGTACGTGGGTCTGCACGAGAAAATGTTGATTGATGCGAACAATTTTAAACATTATTTGAAATTTTATTAACCTTTAGTTTCTTAAACGAGAATAGAGATATGTTAGTCAGCATCAATATTATATAATATTGTAGTAATCAAAAACGAAGTAAAAAAAGAAAAAAAAACCATTATTATTATTTTACTAATGTATTTTTTTATTTGACAGAAGACTTATCAGCGAAATCGCTTTTATAAAAAGCTGTTAATTCAAAATCTCCGAATAAAAATCTAAGATCATGAATTATAAACACTATAAATATTAACTTGATAGTTGTACGTAGAATTTAGTTATTAATATATATAAGTATTTTTGCTTTGTACTGTTCTGTTTTTATATAATTACTTTGTAGTCTGTTATATATATTGTATGACTTTATGTTAAAGGACATTGGTCCGCTGAGTTTACAATAAATAAATAAAAATAAATAAATATAGTGGTCCAAGAGGTTTAAGAGGTTGATGATCACTGATATGATGCACGGGTTAGATTAGATTAATTATCTGTAAGCAACCTCGAATTAGGATTAATAAACAATAGAATAGACACTGAAGATCAGCACGTAAATACACATATTATCTCGAAGATACGATTTTCTATACGCTTCTAAATTCAATTGCGTTAAAATACAATAGTCATGAAATATTTTTTTTATATTAATATACATATATATTATTAAAATAATTAATATTCGTTAAAAGTCGTTAGTTTAAAATAATTGATTGATTTATCTGTCTAGTTTTCTTAATTTTAATTACCATATCATTTTCGTAAAAGGAATATAGTGATATAAATAAAACAGTTGATTTCAAGGTCAATGAATCCTTCAGTCTTTCAAAGTTATGGTTACAACATCCAGACAGATGTCGTTACTCGCTTAATCGTGTATCGAATGTTCGATGAATAGGTGTACCTACCGAATTGATTGAATTTGATCTAATTTTATAAATTTAACCTAATTTAATTAAATTTACCATTTAATCTGAATATAAAATTTAATATATTTTTTAGTTATAGTACTGTCGACGATAAAATTTATTCATTAAATAAAACACCGTATTACATTATATTTTATTTTCACGTTTGATTTATTTTGATATTTTTGTTAGAGATGTCGCCGTCGTCACAGTTGGTGAAAATGGTCAAGTTTAACAACGGCCAACAATACCCGATTTTGGGTCTGGGAACGTGGCAGGTTAGATATTATACATATCACATTGCATGTTAGACATAGACATGCACAAACTTCTGTTTCAGATGTGGCATTTATTTTTTTTGACCACCCATCTCTATACAAAATCTTCCCTTAAAAAAATCAGTTAAATATACATATAAAACATAGGTAAGTTCTAAATAAAATTTGTTATTAAAACTGATATACAGTACAATTAGTACAAACATTATGTGAATTAATATTACAATTATTTAATGTATTAATCGTTCTTCTGCTATTAAACTCTTCAATTATTCCATTACTTCATTATAATTAATTGAATTAGTTGTCTTTTGTTAAAAAAAATATATATATAATAACGCATTTAGTCATTATTGATTCATCGAAGACCGTAACTTTGTCTTCACTATACTTAATTTTGAAAAGGAACTTTCACAGGATTTTATGTACCATTGCCAGCAGTGACGGATTTAAAGGTTCAAATAAACTTGGTGAATCAATAATAGGGGTCTCATACAAAATGTATCAATAATTATTGATACATTTTACATTTTTACATTGTACGAGTATATTAATATACTTATCCCCCATTTTCAAAATCGATCACTACAATCGTGATAAATAATAACCAACCAATATTCATTTTCAATTAAATTAAATTTATTATGAAATAATAGTAGGTAATATAAAATAAAATGAAAAAATTATAGTTGAAAACTTTTGCGAATTTAAGCTTTTGAAAAATTGTTGAAAAGATCGTTCATATCAAGGAGTGTTGCTTCATACTCCATAGCAAGAATGGCTAAATTGTTTGTTCGATTTTGAACCAAAGTTAAATAAAGATAATAATTGAATATTTTTTGTACACTCGTAATTATTTTAGCATTCCTACTGCCATTGAGTAGTGTTAAAATTATTTTTAAAAGAGTTTTCATTTGGGGCGCAGACAATGAATGTCGAATAACAGGTTTCTCTATAATTACAAACTCATAAGGACTAGTGATCTGGTGATGGTTATTTTACGAGTAGTTTCCACGATAGCAGAGTTCTTGTTAAATATTATGGAAGTCGGTAATTTACGTTAAAACGTTTAATTTTGTATACATGTTTTTAAGCAGTTTTATAAAGATAATTTTTTCATGCGAAAAGCTAGGCTTTCTTCATGTCTTAGAACACACTTTGTTATTATTCTATTATGTTGACATCGAATTGCGTAATGTTTAAGAAAAAAATATTGATTCGAATTATTACGAGGATGATTTCGAATAATCCATAAGATAAATTGATTAATTCTTACATCAGTAATGTTACAACTATTATTATTATTATTTTAACGTATTTAATACATAAGAATATCACGTATTAAATACATTTCTAATTTCAATCAGAATTTAAAATCGAGAAATTGTTGTGTAAACATATTTATTCATATTTACTAATGAAAATAAAGTGAAACATTTCGCAATTTGATGAATCTAAAATAATTTAAAAATTAAATCTGATTTGCCTTACTACAGTCAAGTGATAAATTGTTATGAATTTATATAGGAAAATTACTAAGTAATCAAAAACATGAAAAAAATACAAGATATAAATAAACTTTATATTTTGAAAAACAAAACGCTTCTTTCCATAGTTGTCTACCAAAAACCATGGTTTCTTCCAGGCACACCCGAAGAGATGTAGCTCACTTGGTGCAAAATACTTTTAGTGTCAATATTACCCCCCTAACACTCATTAATTGATATATCTTGTTTATCATCAACAAGAGTGTATTTGAGGGGGGGCCCATGGCTCGTATTTTTTTTAATATAATACATTGATTTATTTAAAAAATGTATTGTATAAATAATTAAGAATATAAATTACTAGTCCATCATTATAATATGTTATCATTAGAGGAGAGGACTTGTAGCATTTGAATATTTTTTTTGCACAGTCACAAAACAGCTGAGTGCGAAACAAATACGTTTCATGCTTCCGCAAATTTAATTTTGAAATTTTATTGTGCATATAAATGCATATTTTGCGTTTTTTTGGTTTTTAATGTATATTTCTTCCATTTTATACTTTTAGATGCATATTTTAAATAATTTATCATTTTATCAATATTATTTCCTCGACGTTTTTATTTATTTATACAAACAAAATAACGTTGAATTTAAAATTATTTTAAATTTTGATCATAATATTAATATGGTTTTTGACTTCTCTCAGACCCATCATGGTTTTTCTAAAAACACGTCTCGAGAGTAGTCGATTATATTGTTGTCGGGTTATTAATTTTATTTATAGACAGATGAGATAATATTGTTCAACGCACAAAATATTGATACGGGCTTTGGGGACGCTTGTCGCCGACATCGGACATATTCATATTTTAGTTATCGCTGTTTCTCAACTGTTGACAGTCCAAACACGTTCTATTTACTATTTATTATAAAAAATTCCTAAAGTAAGTATCCAGATAAGAAAACCCATAAAATAAACATAATTAATTTATCGTAACTTATAAGTTGTTAAATAAAGTTGTAAATAAAATTTATTCATTATAATAAGTACCTACAGAAAAATTTTTTTTATGTTCAAAAAAATTAATTTTAAAATGCATATTTTTAATGCATATTTTGTATATTTAAGTGCATATTTGGTGAATTCTTAGAGCTACAAGTCCTCTGCCCTAATTATCATTATAACAGAAACATGAGTTGTAGGTAATGAACTGTAAATTATTTTCAAGTTTGTATTGAAGAAAAATTAGTTTCGCCCCTCCCCCCCAATGGCCGCCACTCAAATACGCCCTTGACCATCAATGATGAGTATAACTAAATAAATTTAAAACATAAATAATTTTATTTATTAGTTCTAGTAAAAATGTATATTCTTTATTACATTAATACATTATTAATCATTAAAAAACAATGCCAACCGCCTAGAACTCAATCCACTTTTCAATAATGCCTTCTAATTATTGTTCAAAAAATTCCTTATTTTCGTACCGTTTGTCAATGGATATTAATCAGACCTAGACTACTTAACTATTAATTTCCCATTCTGTTTCTAGATATAATATATTGTCTATTGCCTTTATAAATTTATCTAGAAAATTTACGTTTCTATCTTGTTCTTGCGTCTTTGTTTTTTTGTCGAAGAAATTTGTAATATTTTATTAAATTTCATTTATAAGACATATTTTCTAGTAATGTTCGGTTTCGAAAGTTGTAACTCCTAATTATAAAATAATTCCACAATCCACAATATTACATATCACGATTATTTAAATGTGATAATGTGATGTCAAAATGAGTAAAATTAAAAACCCAAATGTACAATAATAATTATATCATTTTAATATTTTACTTATATATAGTATACAGAATACACTAATATATTATTACAATAAGTTGCTCGAATATACCTATAATAAATAATAATGTAACATAGATCAGTGGTTCTCAACCGGTGTGGTGCGGCACACTACTGTGTCGCGAGATCGACTAGGTATGCCGTGGAAAATGTCTGATATTTGAAAATACCAATTGATGAAACTATGACAGCTAAATATCAATTAATTTTGTAGATAAGACGATACATATATAGATAAACTGTTCCGTTCTAACCCAACTGGATATCTTAGCGTGTAGCCAAAGTATTTTTTGTTTTCAAGTGAATGAGTGTGCCGCAAAAACTTGTGATGCATAATGGGTGCCGTGAACAAAAAAAAGGTTGAAAACTACTGACATAGATAACAAATTAATAATAATATTAGTGGTGACCAAAATTAATGTATTAATAGACGCGTGGATAGACGTGGCTGTACTCAGTACTGAGGTAAGACAGACGATGGTTTCTCAGAATAGGTATTTAATAATTACTATATTAAGTATATTCATGGACATAAATTATAAATAACAAAGAATGCATTTTTGTATTTTATTATTTATTAAAAAAATTAAAATTATTAAATTCCCAGGTGGTGCATTTCCACCGCCTGGCCCCCCCTCCGGTTGTGCCTAGTTTCTTTATACCGATTTCAAATGGTTTTCTGTCGATTTTAGGTTTAGAATCAAAGCTTAAAGGTCTAAATGGCTTTTAAAAGAATAGATCAATTCAATTCTAAAAATATATATTGCTGTTTAAAAAAAAAAATATAAATTATGTTTGAAAATATCCTGTATGCGTTTTTCAGAACTCATTTCTAGAATCCTTAAGTTTTTATACCATTACAAATAGTCATACTTGTCCAGCCGAAGTATTATGTTTTTCATGAAATATTATCACACGTTTATGGTATGGGTATAATACAATTATTGCTAAAATACAGGATTGAGTCATTTGACACAGGTTACTCTCAATAAATATTCGAATTGTGGACTTTATAAAATATGGTACTTAATATAGCTATTGAACTAATCTATTGTATAACCAAATAGTCAAACGAATATTCGAATATTTATTCATTAAAATTAATAATTATTTAACTGAATAATTAATATTTATTTTTTAATGATAAAAAACGATTAACTTTAATCATTGAAGTCGACCAACGATGATATAAGATCGAGAAAAAAAACCTATAGGAACTTGATAACTGTAGGGTAATTATTACGTTTAATATATAATTTATCAATTATTTAATTATATAATTAAATTATTTATTTGTACATACTTGAGTATTATGAGAATCATAAACCATCTATCCAATGATTAATATGAATGGACAGTTTTTGTTTAAATTAGGTGTAATTTTTTTCGGTTTTTACATTTTTTTCGAGTTCTTTATAAGACATTTTTCTCGTGATTTAATTTTCTGTAAACGTTCTGGTATTTTATGGGCTGATTTTCGAACGTTAATATTTGTGGATGCGATCGTTTTGGAATAAAAACAGGTACATTTTTTCGATTTTACATTATGAAATTATAAAGTGGCCCAGAAAAATAAAGTGACAGTAACTCGGGGGCGTCCACTTAGAAGTCCACTACCCACTTAGAATCGACTTTTGTGTAGTTCTTTTTTAACCCCTGTCCAGTGATGTATTGCTAAAATAAATTTTAGGTATACGTCTTATTTCGTGTAGTAACTATCATATGATAGGAACCAAAAAAACTCACTCATGAACTATACATCCTTAATTATGACTGTTTGATAACAGAAACTTGTTGTTAAATGATAATAAATTTGAATTTTTCGTTAAATAAAAAAGAAATATAATATTAATCTATACGATACCGCACGTCATAAATATAACAGCAAGTTAGGTTAGTCAAGGTATTATGTAGTTATTTGTCAAATTACGAGTTATATGCTATATACGGCCGTATACTAGCGTATCCAGTGGTTGAAATGGCTCAAGATAAGTGGAGGAATGCCTTACAATTCAAATTTCCTGATATCATCATAAAATTCTTCACACACCTTGTGTACCTATAATATTTTTTTATTTTTTTATAGTTCACATAAAGTATATTATTTTAGTCCGTGGCTCTAAATACGGGTATAATACGAGTTGCGAAACGGCTTATACCAAACAACACGATAAGCTGAGCGCCTGGGCCTGAATGTTAAAAACAATTATTTTCACGGAAAAAAAAAAATGTCATATATAAATATAAAAATGATAAGTATATCATTTTAAAATACAAATCTTAGGAGAAATGCGTTATTCTAGACAAAACAAGTAGAGGAATGAAAACTGTAAATACAAAATAGTAGAGGGATGCTATCCCTCCGTATCCCCCCCCCACTTTGAGCACTGCGTGTATCATCAATTTCTCATATGGTATACGCTATGGATAAAAATAGCGTAAGTGTATACGCCGTATACCCCTGTTTACTCTCCAATACACCACTGCATCTGTTTGTGTTTTGAAAGTTATGCCTATTTTATTTAATTTTTCACTAAGTATAGTCCTGACAAAAAGCCCAATTCAGTATTTATAGTCACGCGTAATATGATTTTGTTATAAAATGATCCACATTAAAAAAATTTGAAATGTGTATATCACATATATGATGATCGATTCCTTAAATACGGATTCAGGGGGCCTACATTTTAATTTTTAAAAACTTAGACATTTAATTAAATACCATTTGTGCCGTAGCTATAATTCTTAACTTTTTACAGTGAAATTTTTTTTAAGTTATTAACGGATATGAGTAGAAATTTAAATGTAATATACAGTCCTATAGTTATTCTATTTTTCAGTTTAGAGCCTGATCTCTAAATAATATTCAAAAATACTTCAATACTTAATAATATGACTTTTTTTTTTTTTATAAGACCACTCCTGATATACAAGGAACTGATCAGACTGAAATGTATGAAGCCATTAAAAGTGCAATTAATATAGGATATCGTCATTTTGATTGTGCTGCTTACTACAATAATGAAAAGTTTGTAGGTATGGCTATAAATGAAAAAATCAAGGAAGGAGTTATAAAAAGAGAAGAAATATTCATCACAGATAAGGTATGTTATACAAAAACAGTATTACTTTTTTAGTAGATAATACCTTCATTTTTTCATCATTTCAATTTAATTTTTCCTAAATTAATCCCTCTAAACTATTCTTTCCCGACATTATATTCATCCTACATTTCTGATTTATACGAGTACCTATATATAAGTAGTATATATTATGAATTACTTGTTAGTATCAAGTCTCAGTTAAAGAGGTCGTTTAAATAATCTTAATTTCTAAAGATATTGATATGGCAGTGAAATAAAATGTCTTAATAAGATAATTTAAACTTTTAATGTCCTAATTTTTGAACAAAATAAATCATCTAAAACTTTGGAAAATAAAAAATTTTAAGTGTTTATAAATAGCAAAAATTATATTAAATATTTAATACAATTCATTCAAATATTTTTAAATTAAATATCTTTATAATGATAATATAAGTACTCAGTAAACGTTTTGTGTGACTATTATTAATATTTATAAATTAATAACTAAATAACTATTATCGTGTTACCAAAATTCGTCAAAATATTTATTTTTGTCAAAATTAAATTTTTTACTGCTTATAAAGGATATATATAAATGAATTTTCAATAATATATTTTTTTTGGTCATTAAGAAAATCTTAAAAAAAAATGTTGTAATCAATTGTGAAGTCTATAGAAAATAAGTATTTAAATTGAATTTGTTACGAATATTTAAAAATGTGGTGGACATTTGTGATTTTTGTCGTTTTATCAACCGCTCATGAAATTATTATTTGGAATTTAGCTAAATTGTTTTTCCTTATTCATAAAATTAAATATTAATAAATAACTTGGTAAAGTATATTAATCATTGGATGTTGACATATTATTTATTATTTTAGATTTTAGTAGTACAGTAACAAAAAGATTTTTTTTTTTTTTTGAAAAAAATAGTTTTAAACCTAGATGAAAATATTTGATTTTAGTAATAACAAATGTGGAAAAAATAATAAAGAAATAAAATATTTGTGATTTTCTATACAATTTAGTATACAATGTACAGTTGATAAACTGTTTTGGATTAAAATTGTATAGTAAAAAATGTAGTTATCATATGCTTAATAATTTGATGATTTAATGATAAATTTATTAATGATATCAATAAATTTAATATATTGATTATTGATTATATTGTATTTGTCCTTAATTGCAATGCATTTAGCTTTGGAACAACAAACATAACCCTGAAGAAGTGGTAGATACATTGAAGGATAGTTTAAAACTTTTATGTTTGGATTATATAGATTTGTACCTTATCCATTGGCCAATGTCGACTACTGTAAGTAATATTTTTAAAAATTATTGAATTTGTAATTAAATTTATTTAAATAATTTAGGAAACTCCAGTTGCTAGGGATAGCCAAAATCGGTTTATTGAGAGTATTTATTCTTATTTAGACACATGGAAAGCTATGGAACGATGTGTTCAGTTAGGGCTTACCAAATCAATAGGAATTTCAAATTTCAATATGAAACAAGTCAAAGATATTTTAGGAATTGCGACTATTATACCAGTGGTAAATCAGGTAATGTCTCATTTAAGAATTAATATAAATAAACTTAGTAAAACTTAGTTTTCTATGCAATCGCATATTTTTTTCCTTTCAATATTTTTGGATTTTTGTCAGTTATCTCCACGAATCATCATAATTTGAATCTAATAATGAAATTTTTTTTTGCATATTTCTGCATATTAGAGGTTATTGCATATTTTGGCAAAATTCAAAATTTATTGCATATTGAAGTGAAAATTATTTAAAAAAATGTATAAAATAATATTTTGTCTAGTAGAAAAATTAAAAATAAATTTCATAGTCACTAAATAATAATTTATATATATATATATTTAGTTATAAAATAAATAATCGATAACGACGTAAACTTAATCGCTCTTGCTGTGTCAGTCGATTATCGACATACCACTTGCTTCAAATATGCCCCAATAACTTAGGTTGACATCGAAGGTTCGTTGTCAGTCTTAAAAAATATGTTAACCGATTAACGACATAGCTTCACAGAAGATAAACTTGATATGCATATGATTATTTATTTTAATAATAAATAAAATTTTAAAAATAAATTAAGTTCAGAAAATTCCTTAAATTTTTTTGTATTAAGTATTTAAGTAATTAATTTTTTAAGTTGAATTATAAATTTTAAATAAATAAAAAATTCTTGCATATTTTTTGCATATTTTCATAATTTTAACTGCATATTTTTTTTACATATTTTCATGATTTTGACTGCATATTTTTTGCATATTTCTATACTTTAAAGTGCATACAAATCCACGCTCTAATTATAAGTAACAAATTAAGAAGATTTTATAAATTAATATGACAAAAATAAATCGTTTTATAATATCTATTATTGCCATTTGTTATTTAAAGTATTACTTAATTAAAATTATAGATAATTTGTAGTTCATTGATATCGAATGTATTCCCAAATTTTTTTTATATTTCAATTATTTTAGGTAGAAAATCATCCATATCTCACTCAAAATAAACTTAAAGAATTCTGTGAAACCAATGGCATATTATTGACAGCTTATGGACCTTTGGGATCACCTTATAGACCATATAAACGGACAAAATCAACAAAAGGTATCCTATTAGATGATCCTATGGTAAAAAAATTAGCTGCTAAATACAAGAAAACCAATGCTCAAATATTAATAAGATTTCAGGTAAAAATCTTATTTAATACAAATATTTTTTATACATTTAGTAATTGTCATAAAAAATTTAGATTCAAAGAGGTGTTTTAGTTATACCAAAATCATCTCATCCAGTAAGACAAAAAGAAAATTTTAATGTTTGGGATTTTGAAATCAGCACGGAAGATATGGATTCACTTGAATCATTGAATCAAAATCTACGTTATGTTAAAATTGAGCCGTGAGCATTAAATTATATTTTTATAACTCTTCAGTTACCTAATTACAATTTTTTTTCAGAGCACAGCACATGAAAGACTATCCGTTCAATGAGGAATTATGAAGACTATGAAATTAATAAATTTCTTTTTTTTCCATTAATCCTCAGTATAAATTGTTTAATATTTTTAAATATGAAAATAAATATTCTTTGATTGTGGTGAAAAAATGTAATAATTTATATTTTTAATGTTTAACAATTTTCATGGATATTCAACCGAAGATACTGATGAAATATACTTTAAGTCGTATTTGATTAACCAAATTAAAGGTTTTATTAATTCATATTATATTATTTAATCTTATTATAATCATCTGGGGAATCTATGTGACCTACGAACACATATGAGAAATATTGATTAGTATCCATCAGATTTAGTAGGTAACTAATTGCATTAAACATTTTATATTAATCTGATAATCATTAATATTTGAATAAATAAACAAATAACTTATATATATATAAATAAATAAATAAATAAAAGCTGAGCCTAAAATATTATTACATTTTTTAAGTACAATTAGTTTCGAATTGAAAATTCATCATCATGTATAAATAAAGTTAATAAATAATAAAATTGTGGCTGAATGTGAAAATATAAAATCTCAACTTTGACGATTATTGATGATGAATTTTTTTATTCAAAACTACTCGTACTTTACAAATATTATAATACTCCAGGCTAAGCTTTTATCTATTTATTTATATATATAAGCTATCTGATTATATATTAATTTATGAACATTAACTACTCACTAATTTTTAATTTTAATTAAATTTTTTATTATTGTAGTATTTAATAATCATTATTTATAATTTTGTTCTAGTTTCGGTTCTTGAAAAAAATCATCGATTTATGCATAATCATACAGTTATTTATTACTTCACAAATTGTGTATCTAATGACCCAGAAGTGTCGCATAAAATATAAATAAATGAGAATCCCTTAAAGTATTCAAATTAGGAACATAACGCTTGACAACTTACTAGATCTATAGCAGTATGAACTAAAATTCTTTGGGTTTTGATCATAGGCGTGCGTAAACAATTGTTGCAGGGTGAGCTAAGCGAATAATGATTAAGATACTTGAACTTTGAAGGAAGAAATAATTAAAATGTTTCATATATTAATTTACCTACTCGTTATCACCCAATATTGAAGGAATAAAATATGTAATCATTTATATAATAAAAACAAACACACTTTTTTTTTTTTAAGCTAAAAAAGAAATATATTAATTGTACACAGTTTTTGTACACAATTTTAAACATTTAATATATACCTATGTATATAAAATAATATATGTATAAAAAAAATATATATATATTTTATTGCTCATACAAATTGTCTCAAAAATAACGCAGGATTTGAATCTGCTTTAAATTAAATTTATTTCTTTTAAAAAAATATAACAAATATATCATTTTCTTCAGGGGAATTCAAGGTTTAACAATGAAAAACAATATCGTACATATGACCCTCCCTACTAGCCCTATTCTTTCCATAAAATTTAGCATCACTCGATCACATATTGCCCCATCAAGTTCGTTGAGGACACGACGAATATTTTGCTTAACTCCCAAGACAATTCGAACTTTGTTCTGGTAAACTCGTGACTTAGTATTTCCCTATAGAAAAAATTCACACGGCGTCAAGTGGCAAGATCGAAATGGGTAGCTTTGGTCTCCACGCAACGAAATTAGTCTGTCCAGAAACTTCTCTGTGATTGTTTCTCTTAAAGTGTGACAAGTTGAAATCAAACATGTTTCAATCACCTCATCGCCGTTGATATTATAAGCCAATTTTTCTTTGAAGAACGTTGTCAAGAGTCCATCCAAACGTTCTTGCTTCATTGTATTGCGTAGTTTTGTTTTAATAATGATGAGTTTTGAAAAAGTTCTTTCGCAATTACAACTTGTAACTGGAATAGCCATAAATATTTGCAAAGCTTTAAAAAAATTAAAATATGTAGCTTCTCTTCCACAATAAGGTTCAGTCAGCCATTTAATTATTTTATCAATATTTATTTTTCCATCATTTAGTACATCACAGGGGCGTATTTTAGGGGGGGGAAGAGGGCGAATCCTTCCCCCCCCGAATCAGTATTTAAGGAATCGATGATCATATGATTATCGATCCCTTAAATTTTTTTAATGTGGATCATTTTATAACGATACTTAGTGTCCATACCAAGGCCCCAAAACGTTTTTATAACGTTATAACTTATAACTTTATGAATAACGTTAAACTATTCAAAAAGCGATTGAAACCGATAATAGATAACGAAACAGAAAAGAAAAACGATTAAAATTAATATCGAATAACATAACAGAAACGTTTAACGATTGAAACTTAAAAGAAATTGCCATAGAAAATTATTTATAACTATCAATAAAATAGATTTGAAACATAGTAATTTTTGTAAAATTGACTTAAATTACTAGGTAATCTAAATAAAATATAAGTGTATAAAAAGGATGTTTAAAACAGCAATGAATTTAACAACTTATAATATATAAAAAAGCATTACAAATTATAATTTATAAATATGCTTTTTGAAAATACATCGGATATTGTCGGCGTAGAACCCGTATGGCCTAACCTGCTTCATCAAAAATAATTTTGGTGAACACCGATAAAACATTAGTAGTAATACACCATACAAAAGTTATAAGTTGACAATTAATACATATTTTACATGGTATGTGCATTTTATTGTTGATATACAAACAACAAATATGATTGCTTTATTGAGTTATGAGTTATGAAATTTACAAAAAGAAAATATCTTTAAAAGCAGGTGTGTATTGATACGTATACATATCAACAGATTTTTGATTTTCGGCGTATACCTAATGTGAAAATATTATTTTACGCGTACTCGCTTCTAAATTAACTCGAAAACAATACAACTACTAATAATTTAATAGTTTATTAGAAAAAATTGTTATGAACCATGAAATTGTTGAAATATTTAGCTGTTGAAGATTACGGTGTACGCTGTGTTTAATGTATTGTATTAATTGTAATGAATAACATTGAATAAAATAGTATGGAATGTCAGCCCATGGTTCTTAAATCTGCATCATGCAATTTATAACGCGTTGTAAATGTATATCTTGTGGTGTTAAATTTATAGTATTTATATAAATCATTTTTATAGACTTTTTATACAAGTTATAAACATGTAGTTACAACAGATTTATTACATTTTTACGAACGTATCGAGAAAAAACAATTGTCGAGCGAAGCAATTTATTTTAGTATTAATATCCATATTTTTTTAATACGTATGCCCACAAATATATTTACCAAAACACCACTGGTTAAAGGTAATATATATATATATATTAGGGTGGTCCTTATTTTTGAACTTACGAATTTTTGATTTCTTACCCCCTCATTTTTTTCATTACTATAAGAAAGTAATTCGTGTTAAATTTGGTTATGATTACTCACCCCTCTCATCTTCAAGAAGGTTGAATATTAGTGAAAAAGGGTTGTTTTGTCATTTTTTGACTATATTCAAAAAAATATTGCATTTATCTTAAAAATGTATAAAACATATATTATAGATATTTATATTTTAATAAAAAATATAAAAAATATATTCCTACAATTTCTCATAAATCTATTATTTCCCAAGAAAAATTATAAAATATCGAATATTTTAATGATTTAAATTAACGTTAAAAAAAAAACGATTTTTACAGTCATTTAAATATATTAAAATAATGGTCGATGATGTAACAAAATATCTTATGTACAATTGATAAAGAATTTGATTTCCTAAAAAAAGTTAATTTGCATAAACTTCATTGGATTGACTTTTCTATTGTAACAGTCGGATTAACATAAAAAAATTGAATGTATCTAAAATGTTATCATGTTAATTCAAGAGGTTCATTAATAATACACGTTTTAATATCATACAGTTTATACAATATCTTATAAATCTATTACTATTTATTATTTATTATTTCATATGAAAAATGATATAGGTAATATTGAATATTTTATTTATTTAAAATAATCAATTTTTTATTATTATATTATTATTTTTGTACATTTGTTATTATTTAGAGTTTATAAAATTATATACATTTTTAATATTTGTATTTTTGAAACAATGTGTAAATTGAAAGTGTCAAGCTAAAATGTTACTGTCGTAACTCAATAGTTTCATAAAGAACACACATTTTAAGATAATAATACATTGTTTACGAGTAGATAATATTTTGTACCTAATAGTTGTATCGGAATCGGATAATATGTTACAGTTGAGATTATGGATGGTAAACTTCTTCCCTCATTATCCGGAAAAAAAATGATTGACCGCCTATAAGAATACCAATAGTAATATCATTTAAAGGCAAAGAGCAGCTGCTTGGTGTACCAGAACTTATATCTGGCACTAGACAAAATCAAGCAATAGCAGTATATCAGGCTTTTGAAAATTGGGGTTTAACCGAAAATATACAAGTTTTATGTTGTGATACAACCGCATCCATTATGAGTCGACTAAAAGTCACTTGTATATTATTAGAGCAACGGCTAGAACGTGATATACTATATTTACCATGTAGACATCATATACTTGAAGTTATATTGTGCTCCAGCTGCTGCTCTGGCACCAAACATGGACTTACAATTTATTAAAGAGCTAATATTGTACGAGGCCATTGATATAAAAATTTCAAAATGAACATTAAAAAAAATGTGTAGTCATTTGTGATACTTAACACCAGAAGTAAAATCATTGGGATTTTTTGGTGATAATTTATAACTGAAAACAAAGGCAAAATAGTTAAATCAATGAAGACTTTTGATGACATTCTATATACATTTTTCAAAACTTACAAATTACTTAAAATATGAAATAAAAAAATTTGTCTTATAAATTTATCAAAGCTTTCAAATTACTCGAAAATCAAAATAATTGCATTGTACAATTAGAGCGTATTTGATGTTATCTAAAGTAAATCAACAACGATTATCTGTTTATAAATATTTATATTTGGAAAAACTTCTCTCCACGTCCACTGAAAAGTGATCAGGAAGCGCAGACGAGCACTAACCAACGATATAATAGGTATTATTCATTATTATCATATAACATGACAACGACACGACAACTGTAATCAACGAGATAAAGTCGGATAGTAATCGAATATTAGGAAAAAATAATTAAATGTGGGTATTTAATTATTCATAACAATACGACAACCACGAATGTAATCGGCGAGATAAAATAGAACAAGTCTTTGGCATAATGGTTGACAAGAAACGATAAAAAGTGAACTAGTGTGAAATCAGTAAAAATGACTAAAAATGTCAAAAAATGACTTAAAAAGTAAAAATCATTAATAAATTAAAAAAAAAAATGCAAAATAAAAATTAGTTATTCGAATTCACATACTAATGAAACATATTTGTGACTAGGAGAGAATTATTTAAAAAGTTCCAAAAAAAAAAATTTAAAATTCATCAAATTCCGAGCCCTAGTTATAAGTAAGTCAGATTTTAAACTAAATGGGTGAAAAAAAAAATGTGCAATTGTTCAATTCAAGTAATTGAATCAGTGTTTTTCCTCAATAACTAAAGAATAATAATATTTTAATTTAATTAATTCTTATATGCTCACGGAGACCCTAAACTTCTTACACGGAGGCTCTGCAGAGCATAGTTTGAGAACCACTGTAATAAATATTAAGCTTTATAAATCCTGTAGGTAAGGAAAAATTGTTATTATAATTTTCTGAAAATAATCTATTTTTACAAAAATCAATTATAAATAATTGCAATAAATAAAATAATCACATCAATTTTGTTTAACAAGTGCATAAACTATATTTTGTTGGACAAGCACATAAACTATAATTAATAACATATTGTATACATTAGATAAATGAGTTATTAAATTGTTGTATTTGCCATTCGTATACGGCAGCCGAAAAGTTATATAGGTTCGAACACGAATTGTGTAGGCGATAGTCGTGATTTGTGACTTATCGATAATAATAAATATTTATAAATATAATACATGCAATAAAGTGTTATTCGATGCCATAATTGCCGCAACTACCGTTCAGCAAGAGTGCATCGTTTTTCCGAGCTGGGCATGCTAGACATGATCTCAGCCGCATTTCAAATACCTATCAATTACTTTTTTCGTGCAAAGCAATTACTAACAGAGGACAATGAAATTTGTAATTTTGGTATTAACTGTTGTTTTTATCGTGGATATTATCGCAACGGGTATGTATAATTTCAGTTTTAAAAACATCTATCGTATCTGCGGACAAAATAATTTTGAATGCCTTAGTTTTGGCATTTTAGATTTTCTGACGGGTAGCTTAAAAGTGTTTTTCTAAAAATGTGAAAGCAATCAATATTTATGTTTGTCTTTTTATCTTACGATGTTTAATTCTTATAATCTTACAGTTGTTGTTGTAATTATATACATATGTAAACTCATGTTTAATAATAATAATTAGACAATAAGATAACCATCTTTATAATAATATTACTAGTTTTTTACATTACTGTCCAAAATATTTTATACACCATAGTACCATACTGTATACTAATTTTCAACTACAGAGTGCGCTTAGTGAATTATTCAATTTTTTTCAAATTCGCTTTAAAAAATTACCTAAAATTGAATTTGGTAATTTAGATAGATTGAGGCATAGGCCGCTTCGGTCCATGAAAAATCACAACGCGTGCCTATGCTAGTGATAATTGGTGATAATATAATAAACATGTGTTAAATATCTATTGGCATCCCCTAATTAAGTTAATAATTCCATCTTATAAACGATATCAATAGGTTTCGATGATCCGCTAGTAAATATACTTATTATATCAATGTTACGATTTTTTATTTGCTCGATAAATTGCTTGAAGTTATTATAATCAAATATTGATGAATTCATTTTGAAAAAAGTTATTAGAACCTATTTGTCAATATTAATTACAAACATTTTCGTAACGGTGTAAAAGAGATATGAGCAAAATAATTGTTTCAAATTCAATGAAAATAATATGTTTCATTATTTCGGAGTTCAGACAACAACATTCAGATAAGTGTTATTACTCGTTGTACAGCAGTGGTATACGAGTATTATTTTATGCATAGATGGATTTTAATTTAATTTTATAATTTTAATCGATTTACATTTAAGTAACCATTTAATTTGATTATTAAATTAAAACAATTAGGCACTTTTCACACTAACGGTAGACGGTCCGATCATGGTTCTATCAAATAGTATTTAACTTGTATTTTCAAATTGGAACGCTTACATTATCGATTACGCTTACGTCGGATCAAGACACGAGCAGTTAAACCTTCGTCTGTACATTTATTTTTTGGGACTTCATCTGAACACTGGGTTAAATGGACAGACGTGTTTTTTAGTACTAAAAAACACTTAGAAAAAATCTGAAAAAATTTACTAATTAAGGGTTGCTCTTTAAGATTCAGCAGTTTTTAGTAACGCTCATATTGTAAATTAGTATAGATATAATATTAAAAATATATAAAAATAACAACTAATAAAAATTATTTACTTGTATATTATAATACATTTTTAAAACTAAAGGTAAAATAAATTTTACTCTGCATATTTCGATATGAATTTTTAGCTAAAATGCATATTTTATATTACTTTGTCCATACTTTTAATGTATATTTGGTAATGTTCTATTGTATAAACCGAGTCTAAATTATAATATATTATACTACGAAGAACATTAAAATAAATTAAACAAATAATATAAAATTATATGGTAATAATATGTAACAACTATAGGTAATACAATTGTTATGACACAAGTTTTAAACTATATCATACGAGTAATTATGTATATAAAATTAGTTACGTCGGTACATTGTGATGACCTAGCAACAAATTATTAGACTTTCACCGTCAAGGCCGGATTAAGAGGGGTCTAGCCGGGGCGGTAGCCCGGGGCCCTCTCAAGTACCCAAGTGAAAGGGGCTCAAACAATTTTAAGCCGGTATACATGTTTTATCATACTAAAATTAGTAGTTATATAGACATAAATTGTATATACCTATACATTTTATAATTTTATAATGCAATTGACAATTTTTGAAATAATTAAAAAATGTATCGTTCTGCGAGCGTAGAACAAGCAGCTTTGTAAAGCATCTTTTGTTAAAAGGGCCAAAGTTTAATCCGGCCATGATCACCGTAGTATGATACAAGTAATATTGATTTATTGTGATTGTATTGTGATCGGACCGTTGAATTATCTATACTCACTGTTAATAGGGCCCAAATGTAGTTTGCGATAACATTTATGTGTTCAATAAATATACATTGTTATATTATATTTTGTTTTCACGATTGAATACTTATGATTTTTTGTTAGAGATATCACCGTCGTTGCAGTTAGTGAAAATGGTCAAGTTTAACAATGGTCAACAATACCCGATCTTGGGTCTGGGCACGTGGCAGGTTAGATATTATACATAGACAACATATTATGTTATGAGTTATTATACTCTACGAATACCTTTTTCCCGTATAGTCGACAAAAGTTACTTGCCATTTCAAAATATAAAAGTTATCTAACGTATGCGTTTATCGAAAAAAATTATAAATATCAACATTTTTCAAAATACGTGATTTAAAACCTTCCCCTAGAATAGTGATTCTCATCCTTTTTTCGTTCATGTCACATTTAGCCACTAGAATAAAACACCGCGTCATTTTAAAATCAAAATAATAAACTGTGTATTTTAGAATAATTCTTGAAGTAACAAAAAAATACAGTACACAGAAAAATATTAAGTACACCTACAATTAATTTGGGTTGCAGGGTTCAATAAACTTTGTCAGTTAAAAGTTTAAATTTGAAAATTAAAAAAAAAAAGAGAAAAAATAAAAATGATTTGTATGAAAACTGATGAGAAATTGGGCCCTGGTGGTTTTTACAAAGTTTAGGAAGTCGAGGGTTGATGGTGGAAAAACCGAGTCTCATATTTTCTTCTAGAGTTGTGGAGCTATAACACTACATATCTAGCGACTGCAAAATAACTGACTAACGACCCCGGTTAAATCAGTAAGACAATCACCCTTACACTGCGTCCATGTCAACCTTGGATGAAATGTCACCCTGGTTGAGAACCACTGCCTTAGAACCAACAAATTTTCATTGAAATATAGTCATATATAGCTGTATAGGTATCCTGTTATAAATTCGATGTAAAGCTCTATAAATTGTGAATAAGTATTCAAATATTTAACTTAGATTCTAATGTTGTAACATTAATTTTAACATTTTATATCGGTTTAGACTACTTCTGACTTACAAGGATATAATCAGACAGAAATATATAAAGCCATTAAAAGTGGAATCGATATAGGATATCGTCATTTTGATTGTGCTGCTCATTACAATAATGAAAAATTTGTAGGTATGGCTATAAATGAAAAAATAAAGGAAGGAGTTATAACAAGAGAAGAAATATTTATCACTGATAAGGTATTTCTTAAAAAAACATTATTATTCATTTATCATCAATGATTTATTTAAGTTTATGTATATATATGCTTTAAATTGTAATGTGATTTAGCTTATGAACGATAAACATAATCCTGAAGAAGTAGTAGATGCATTGAAGGATAGTTTAAAACTTTTAGGTTTGGATTACTTAGATTTGTACCTTATACATTGGCCAATGTCGGCTATTGTAAGTTACATTTTAATAATTAAAGAATTTGTATTTAAATTTATTTATATAACTTAGGAAATTCCAGTTGCTAATGAAAACCAAATTCGCTACATTGAAGGTAATTATTCTTATTTAGACACATGGAAATCTATGGAACGATGTGTTCAGTTAGGGCTTACCAAATCAATAGGAATTTCAAATTTTAATATGAAACAAGTTAAAGATATTTTAGGAATTGCGACTATTATACCAGTGGTAAATCAGGTAATGTCTCATTTAAGAATGAATATAAATAAACTTAGTAAAACACATATAATAATAACTATAAGTAACAAATTAAAAAGATTTTATTAATTAATATGACAAAAATAAATCGTTTTATAATATCTATTATTTCCTTTTGTTATTTAAAGTATTACTCAACTGAAACTATAATTAATTTGGGTATTAATACCCAAACTAATACTATAACAAACTATAACGAATTCCCCAATGTATTTTATATTTCAATTATTTTAGGTAGAAAATCATCCATATCTCACTCAAAATAAACTTAAAGAATTTTGCGAGACTAATGGAATATTATTGACGGCTTATGGACCCTTAGGATTACCTTACATATTTACAAAATCTTTACCTTATACAAATAAAACGATTAAGAAAGCTGTTCTATTAGACGATCCTATTGTAAAGAAAATAGCTGCTAAGTATAAAAAAACTAGTGCTCAAATATTAATAAGATTTCAGGTAATACTATTATTAAATAACAATAATATTAATAAATTTAGTTATTGTAATTAAAAATTTAGATTCAAAGAGCTGTTTTAGTTATTCCAAAGTCATCTAATCCAGTAAGGCAAAAAGAAAATTTTGAAGTTTGGGATTTTGCAATCGGCACGGAAGAAATGAATTTACTTGAATTATTAAACCAAAATTTACGATATATTTCTAACGAACAGTGAGCATTAAATTATTTTTTATTATTTGCAGTTTGCTAATTACAATTTTTTTTCAGAGCACGACACTTGAAAGACTATCCGTTCAATGAGAAACTATGAAGGTTTATGATGACAAATAAAAGTTGTATTTGATTAACAATATTATGGTTTTTATTAATTGTTATTATACAATGCAATATTGAATTATTATATTACGATCATGGTTGTATATTGGTATAATGATCTGTAAATTTATCCAAACAGAATAATTGTTTTTAAGCTTTGTTCTCACATAAAAATATATTCAAATATTATATTATATGTACACTTAACAGTTTATATTTAATTACATAGTAGACAGACAGAACGTGGCTTTTATCACAGTGTATTTATACATTCGGTAAGGATAATGACGTTGATTATGAATATTTTTCATTTATTATTTTCATTATTCTCCGAGATCACCACGAGTAAGTCAAAGACCAGATAAAAGTCGGGTATTTCTCTTACATAGGAAATTTTGGGTGGGTGAAATCTAATATCAGTATATAATATACATTTAATATTTATTTTATAATTTTTTCAAAGGGATTTCGGATGTAAATTATTTATAAGCTGATACATTTCTTAAACAGTTGTATGAGGTTTCCTCCAGGAAAAGTGTTTCTGCATATTTCTATATTTATATTTATCTTTTTTTAATTTTTGACTTGTGAGAAGAATATTTTGAATAAAATTACATTTTTTAGTTTTATTGTCAAGATTGTTGCTGAATTTTTCTAAATTATTTATTTAAATTAAAAGTTTCTAAAAATGATACATTAAAATACATTAACATTGATATCAAGTTGAACGTCATATTGTATTATTATGTAGGTAGGTACTAAGTTTGATATTTGACTTATAAATTCCTGCTGAAGAACATAGTGTGGATAATAAGTATAAGACATGATGGTAAAAGATTAAAAAATATGAATATCTGTGTATGGATCGAACAATTATATAATATTAACATCAAATGAGAAACGGTGTATTGAAGAACGGGTTCCTCAATAGCCCCTTTTAGTGTTCTACTTACACTTATGCATGGGTGTAGTGTAGTGTTTCATAAGGTTCATGAGGGTCTAGTTCCTTTCACCGCGATCATTTCACCGACGGACTACTCGACGTACGTGTAGTTGACCCCTCAGTATGTTCTATCGATTTCAAACAAAAAACAAATAATTTGAATTTAATAGTAAATAATTGTAAATGCAATTTTTAAATTTATAAATACTCAGAAAACTCAAGAAATCAAAATCAAATTATTGTAATAAATTATACTATTATTATAAATATCATTATTATTGTTATGGGTGGACATATCCATAGGCGGAACTAGGGGGGGGGCGTATTAGGGTTTTTAGAACCCCTGAGTTTAAATGTAGTACTCATGATTTTTTTTTAGATCTATATAATCTATAGTAATTACAGTAAAATATCATTTAATTTTATTTTCAGCAATTTCAACACCCCCAATATTTGGGCTATAGTTGCGCCCATGAACATATCATGTATATATAGTTAGCAAATATTAGCAAATTGGTTTAACAAATTATCAATAATTTTAGACAAAAATTTTTATATTACTCAATTTGCAATATCAATATGATAATTACTTAATAATTTTACAATCAATACTAAAAATCAAAAATACTATAAAATCAATACCAAAAAATTGATACTATAAAATATTTAAAAAATCAATACCAGAAAATATTTAAAAGAATATATCTTAAAAGAAATGTAGTGAATCCTAGTGTAACCGATGAAAGAGACGATCCATTACTAATTCTCACTACTAGTACCAGTCGCGATATTATAGTCCAAAATGCTCAACAAGGAACTGAAAACAAAAAATCTTTAAAGACTATAAGAAAGTTTTGTGCTAAATGATTTGATAGGGATGAATTTGCGAAATGGCTAGTACACAAGATAGATGCTAATGGAAAAGATTTTGGATATTGTAATGTGTGTAATTCATTAATGAGTTCACATTTTACTGAGATAAAATGACATGGTTCATCGTCTAAGCATATTACGAATTCTAGACAAGTTGATTGATAAAAAATGTAAGTGAAGTTTTTAAGATGTCATCTTTAATAGAGAAAACGAGGATTGCTGAAATTAAAATGACTACTTTCCTTGCTACAAAAAATTTACCTCTATCTTTAACGGACCAACTTATTGCGTTATGAAAATCTGTATTCCATGATTCGAAAATTGTAAAAATATGCCCACAGCGAGGACGAAAACAACAGCAGTCATGCAAAATGTGTTGGGTAAAAATTTCCTCAATGACCTATGTAATAATACTCTTATAATATATGGTACATTTTACTCTTTAATTATGGATGAAACAACTGACATAGTAGAAATTGAACAATGTGCAATTATTATAGTTTATTTTGATACTAAACGATGATAGTTAAAACTCAATTCTTAGACATGGTAGAATTATCTTTAGGTAATTATTTATATTACAAGTAATTTTACATTATGAATTAAATTCCATGTATTACTTAATTTTAACTATTTATATACAATTATTTATAATAAAGATTATACCTAATACATATTATAAAATATAAAACAATACAAATGTACGTAAAAATTGTAATTTTTAAAACATTGAAACCTGTCTACAACGGACACCTGTCTATAACGGACAATTATTTTGGTCCCATGACTGTCCGTTATATACAGTTTTCACTGTATATGTAACTATGGACAATTATTTTACTGTTATTTATCTTGAATTCATATCGTATACACTTGGTCTTTAGACCAATTTTAATACTTTATTTCAAAGTGAAGGCCCTCAACTACATCTGTTGAAACCAGAAATTGAAAAACTATTAAAAATAGTTGCTATGAACTATATGGATATTGAATATATTAGATTTCTTGATTTTATCATGACGATTTCACCAACGAACATTTAATATTATATTCCTATAGTTGATATTTATATTGGCGTAAATGCTATAACCAGTATCTTAAATTTAAAAAGTAACAAGTCTGTTGATTCCAACGAAATAATTAAATTTTTTAAATCTTGTCAAGAATTCTATATTGAGCTAGTAGTAGTTATAAAAAAAGGTTTATATTAAATATAAATATAATAAATATATTTAACCTATGATTATTAACCGAGACACTTAGCCCGTTTCACATTTTATTGGGCTTGGCATTTAGAACTTTTTTCTGAGACTAACTTAAAAATCAATTTTTTGGCACTTATCCCGTTATTGATTTCAAGTTTTTATTTGATGACCCTGTTTTTAAATGTACAGCTGTACCTGACCCTGAGGTAATTAAAAAATTTAATGTAAAATCGATAAGTCATGTAATTAAACGATTTCCAGGATTAAATTCTTTAATCAGTTATCTTGGAATGCTTGATCAGGAATGGAAAGAATTGGCACATATGGATATTGAGCCCTTGAATTCTAGTTCAAGTGATATTATGAGAAAAGTATTTTTATTAAAAAATTCTTTGGGTGAAATTTATTCTCCCAATATATTTATTTATAATGATGAGACTATTACTGATCCTTACTTTTTCAAATGCATCAGTTGAGCGGCTATTTAGTGATTTAAAAAACATTAAGACCCTACATCGCAACAAATTACAAACCCAATCAATAATTGAAATCCTTAGAACTAAAAATCCATAACTGATTGTGTGTCATTTAAACCAACCGATTCAATGGTTAAAAGTAAATTTTGGGACTTATCATAATTTTATTTTATATTTTTGTTATGTTTTTTTATTTTTACTATACTGTTTGTATTTTATTATTTTAAAAAATAAATAAAATACTGTTTATAATTCGTAATTCCTAAATATATTATTAAGATAAAAATTAAAATGTTAAATTTACTATAAGTATGAATAATAACTTATAAAAAAATATATATAAAGTTCAAAGTTTTTTTGTTATGTTTTATTAATTTTTTTTTATGTTTGTATTTATTTATATTTATTTGTATTTTATTATTTTAAAGAATAAACAAAATTGAAAATACTCTTATTGTAAAAAAAATGGAATACTAAATAGTATAAATTATTATGCAGATTGTTTTTTTTTGTATCCTTGCTTAAAATTTAAAAAAAAAAATATGTGGTATTGTGGTAGTAATTCGATTTTTAATTGTGGTAAAAGGGGTATTCTGATAACGTAGTTGGGTAATTTGACAATTTGTAATCGGCAACACTGATACGAATGTACATGCTACACCGCCGCGCCTGTCAGATATCTATTAATTGTAAATAAGTTATTGGAATTAGGTGTATACTCGTCGGCAAACTTTGATCGGCGACCGTCGTGCGCGATTGATGTCTCGTTTCAATGAAAGTAGGAGAAATTGGCCTTGAGACGGTTGACGGCCGTCAGTCTAAATGCGCGAAAGCGGATGCTCTCTTTTGAAAAGAGGTATAAACAAACACCTACGCATCCGCAAACTTGTGACGCTGTCATTTGTATTTTTTCTGCGCTTCGTGTTCTGTTTACCGTTGTTGTTGAATTCTTGCTTTTACATTTTGAATCGTGTTTGCTATAGTTTAACGTGCCATTTACAATGGATTTATTTTTAACTAAAAAGTGTAGAATTACTAATTACTAACTGTAAAAGTTTGGAAATGTTATTGTTTGTTATTTTCCAAAATGTATAGAGAACAATAATTTTTTAATAATATTATACATAATAACCGTATGCGCAATAAAGAATGTATACCAATGCCGCAAAAACCGGGTGTGCAGTGTTCCGCGCACACGGGCCCTTAGGCTTACGTACATTTGGGGGCCTCCTAGTCCCAGCCTAAAATAAACTACACTGTACAAATACACAATTATTTAATATAATTAAATTATTATTTTATAATAAAAAGAAACTTTTTTTAAAATTCAGGTAAGAATGTTATAATATTTTAGAGCAATATAATACTTATTTAACTATAAGTCCATTGAGCATTTGAGTAGGCATACAACATACCTACCTAAATTACTTAAATAAATTTATATAAATATATAGTGGAATAAAATATACAACAGTTGTAGGAAATGTGTTTTAAAACCTACCAAAAATTTATACTTATAAATAAGACGTACAACAAAAATAAATCCTAGGAAGTGCTTTAATATAATTACCGCACACGGGCCTCCTATTTTGTAGTTGCGGCACTGATGTATACATATTTTTGTATTCTTCTTTAGAATTATTAACAGATAGATCAATATTCAACTAATTGCGCAACATAAAATAGGTTTTACCAGA